GGGGGGGGGGGGGGGGAGATGCGTACGTTTACAATGTATAATAGCTTATTTACGCTCTTAACTTAATTAATATATATGATATACATACTTTTTAAATATATAATATATATTTTTTCGTATAATATGTAATTGTCTATTAGAGAGATAGAACATTTGCGATAAACTTTACACAAGATAATAACTATTATTTATAATTCAATTATGTATATTATCCGCGGAGGGAGACAGTGGGGGAGGTGGGGAGATTACAATTTGAAAATTTTCCTCGGTTTCTTTTTGATCACAATATACGGCTTTGTTTTGTTTTTTTCTTTTTGTTCGATAATAGAAAACCAAAAAGTGGACAGCGACCGTCCGTTTCACCAGATACATATATGCACCATATACACAAGCAAGGGCTCTTACAAGTGCCGTTTGTTTACCGATATATATCTGCATCTCGTTTCTTTTCTTTACTTTTCGAATACGCACACACCGTGAAACTTTGTTTTTTCTCCTTCTCGCCGTGTACAACAACAATAATAATAATAATAACGAAAATCGTCCGAGAAGATATCAATCGTAATTGGAGATAACCGTAATTTTTTTTTTCTCCTCTCACACGATCGGTTCGCTACATATACCTACACACGAATACGTAATATAATAATATTATTCTTTTTTCGCCGTTCGCGTAGTTACATTATAAATTACGCTAAGAAAAGAAAGAAAAAAAAAAATAAAAACAAGTCGAAGTTCGTTACGCCTTATTTCGTTTTTTTTTTCTCTTAAATAATTGTATTACTTGCGTACTTTGTTGCTGCTGCTGCTGTTGTTGAAACGCTCCATACGTTATCGATAAATAATAAATAATCTTACTTCTTAGCCGCCGTCTTCTTGGCCGCCTTTTTCTTGGCCGGGCTGCTCTTCTTTTTCGCGGCCTGTTTGGGCTTGGGCGGCTTGGCGCCCAGCGACTTTCGCGCCGTCGTCGTCTTCTTCTTCTTCGGGCTGGCTGCCTTCTTCTTAGCCGCCGTCGACTTCACCGCTGGCTTCTTCTTAGCTGGCGACTTCTTCGCCGCTGGCTTCTTCTTCGGACTGGCCGCCTTCTTCTTGGGCTCTAGCTTGAAAGCACCGGGCGCACCCTGAGCCTTGCCCGCCAGGGCCTTCTTGATCAACGGCGTTAACTTCTCCGCGTCCACGCCGTACTGCTGCGAGATGTATTTCTTGATGTCCTGCAGGCCTGAACCGCTCCTGTCGCCGAGGGCGGCTATGGCCGAGTCGACGAGCTCGGCCGTGCGCGGATGCACCTTCTGGACGCGCGCCGAGGCTGGCTTCTTCTTGGGCAGCACGACCGCGGCCTTCTTCTTCTTAGCTGCGGCCGCTGCCTGCTTCTTTTTAGCCGAAGCCAGAACCGCACCCGAGGGTAATGCTGCTGCCGTGGCGACCATTGCGCTCCAAGTGACGGCCGAATTCGTGATTGAAGAGATTTGTTGTTGTTGTCGTCTTACGCGCGAAAACTAGGTCGCGTGTACCGAGAACTGTATCTATATATGTATGTATATGCACTGGCACACGAGAGCTGCTGCTGCAGTTGCGCGTCGCTGCTCGGAGTCTCGGCAATAACAAAGCCGAGCTGCCAGGCGAGCTGGCGGTGTCATGCCAGAGCGCGGACCGCGGAGGCGCGCCCCTGGCGACTTTCGCCTCTGGGTGGCCTCGAGCAAGCTCGAGCCGCGGTACGCATTGGCCACTCGGCCCTGGATTTTCGACGCTTAGCGGGTCGATTTCACCGGGGCTCGAGTTTCCTGCCTCGAGATTAAAGTCCAGCTCGTCGTTGGAAATGACGCGGTCGAGTCTCGCTGGCCCGACTAACTCCGTGCGAGAGCTTTTTTCGGGGCTAAGCTGCGCGACGTGGCTGGCGCACCTCGGCCAAAAAGCCGCGTAACTTCGTCGCCCGGGTGGTGACTGGGCCTGAATCTTAATTATTTACAAGACCAGACTCGGAACTAGGCCTCGATCGGGTTTTTCCGCGGCTCCGAGGGCCCGCGGCCGAGATCGAGCCGTCGCGCTCGGCGGTATCGCGCGTGCTGCCTCGCGTGCTAGTCTCTCGCGGAGCGACGAGACTAACTCGTCGCTGCGGACGCGCGAGTCGCCGCGGCCGATGCATTTCACGTCGGGCGCGCATACGAAGCCGAAGCGCGAGATCACGAAGAGCCTGCGACTGGGAGCATATGGATTTTCGGGGTGGATCGCGTAAAGATCGAGATGTTTCCGGTTTTTGTCGGGTAGGCCTGTGTTTTCCGGCAGATCGGTATTTTGCGGATGTAGCAGCTGTACCGCAATACCCTACGATAAATGTTAACGTAAGTCGAACGATCGATCGTTACTTCTTATCATTCACGAGTACGTTTATGAGCTCGCTCGAAAAATTTGAGTTTACATCGAGGACCATACTCCCGTATAGATACCGATCGCGCGGGGGCCGAAAATAGCGGACGATCGGTAAAAAAAATTTTTTTTTCTTCGCGATCTTTTGCTAACGTCCGACGAATTATATATGACTTATTCATTTTCTACGTGCGATTTCGACGTTTGAAATTTTAAATATAGTTTCGACGATAAGGATTTGGTTAATACATACGCACACCGACACCCCCTCCCCTCTTTTTTCGTATGCGCGTCGTGGACTCGCTGCTGTATGTGATAATTCAAGAACGCGTGTACCGAGAATTTGCAAACGATCCCCGAGCGGTGGACCGATTCTTCGTATTTTTTTTTCTCTCTCTCTGTTCTCGATCGAAATTTCAAATCGAGTTGATGCAGCAAAGATTACGGAGCGAGCAGAAGGAGCGAGCGAAATTCAATCCGCATCGCGCGCGATTATCAAAAACTCGGTGGAAAATTTTCATTTCTTCTTACAATAATAAATGTCGAGCGATCGACTTGCGCCGGTCGTCGTCGTCGATATGTATAAGGGCGCAATCGAAACCTTTATCGTTACCGTATCACGCGTCAACGGAGACGATCGAGTTACCGCGACGATCTATGGGATTTTTATTATTCTTTTTTTTTTCGACTTGGTAATTGAGTAATCCGTAAATACCCGAGAGCTCGAATCGACGCGACGTTGGACTGGACCGCGTTTCGAACGCACACCTGCGTCATCGTATAGCGCGTTGCTCGACGCGCAACATCGAAAAGACTCGAAAATAAAAAAAAAAATGAAAGAAAGAATCTTGCGGCCGATAAGAGAAAACGACTCGCGCCGCGATTGCGATTCCGGTGCAAATTATCGATACACACGTACTCGTACGTATATTTTATCGTTGAACAGGTCGCGCGTCGTCCTTTCGAAGTTCAACTTGACTTTTGGCTCGATCGAAACTCATATATCGCTCGAGCGAAAAAGGGTGTATGCCCAAAGTTCAAACCGTATACGAGTTTGTTTATAGGTCGAGGATAACTTTTAGCAAAGCTCTCCCGTAGAAACGAGATGAAACAATCGAATTTTTACGAATTTTTAATGGGAGAAAAAAAGGGAAAAATTAGTTTAGGCACGGATTTTCATCGATCGACGAAAGACAATTACGATTCACCAAAGCTCTCAATCCCGTTACGGAAAAAAACAGGGGGTAGTACTCGGAGTGCAGCTTTCAAGAAGCTACATGACCCTACGTAACGAAGGCTCGTCATCGATAGCGTCGGCCTATAGACACGGTGTAACCGTATGAAAAAATCGACTCACGTATAAATGAGCGCCTCATTGGTATATAAATAGATCACGTTCGCGTTGCGTATGGAAAGTAACACAGAGAGACGGAGAGAAAAGTCATAACGCAACAATAAAGGAGTCGTCATCGCGTCGCGAAGCAGCTCCTCTCGTCTCTCAACAGTTTCGTCGTTATTGCATATTTTTTTTCCATTTTCCATATCTCATATGCTTATTCTAGAAAAACCGCACCCACGCTTCAGGTACGCTCCCGCGCGAGCTGTTACACACTCGTGCATATACATACAATACGCGCGTATACGCGAACCAAGAAGATTATGCGTCGCATCGATGAATTTTTTTTTTCTTTTTCACGCGTTTACGCACGAAAAATCATACCCCCCCCCCCCCNCCCCCCCCCCCCCGTTGTGTGCCCATATGTCGCAGCCCCATATACACATTCGCGCACAATGACGATAAAAAAAAAGGGCCCGATCGCGGTGAACAGCCGCGAGAAATATATATGTACGTATTTATATTAGGGGGGGAATCGAGAGGGAGCGAGAGAGAAAAGAAGGAGATTGTTTTGATCGCGCGTCCGGGAGGCAAGGCTCATAATCGCCCAGTGCACAATCAATTTTGTGCGCGCGGGCAAAAGCTGCGCTCGCTCTCTTCTATACATGCATATATATATCTATATACCCACGCGACTTATATATATAGTATATATACATATTCTCCCATACTTATATACACAGACCCACACATCGAAAAACGAGCGTTGACATATAGAGCCCCTGCGCAGCACGAGGCTCTCATGTACACACACACACACATATATCGACGCGCATGTGTTGAACAAAAACATTGGCATCCCTGTGTGGGTATGCGCGCGTCTCGTTAAGCCCGTCTCCGTGTGCGAGCACGTGTATACGAGTGTCTGTGTCTTTATGTGTGTGTGTGTGTGTGTGTGTGTGTGTGTGTATAAGCACGTGCTGGCTGCTATGAGCCACTATACTGCCACTGCACTGCTGCTGCTGCCTATTCCCGTCTCTTTCCAACGCGAGGCTGGCTGCAGCGCGAGCGCGGACCTCGCCGAGAGACCCGCCGAGCGCGTTGCACTTTGGCCGCGTCGGAGGCGCGTATCATCGCGGTACGCCGCGGCCGCGTTGCCCACGGATTTTTCGTAACTCGGGGCTTCGAGACGACTGCGAGACTCGCGGCATCGGTGAGTCGAGGTTTTTGGCTTTTTAGAGGCCGAGCTTGAAAGTACGTTTCCTCGGAGGTTCGCCGAGCTACGGGATCAAGACCGAGAGCGGGCGGCCCGCGGCGACTTCGACACCCTCGGCTGTTCCATCGTTATCGGGGATTTTTCATCGAGGAAGTCGCGAGGCGGTCAACGGAGGATGAAAGGCGGATTATTCGCGCGGCGATCGGTAGGTCGGACGTCGAGATCGGTAGGTTGGCTGAGCCGTGAAGACGGATCGAACGAGGAGTTGCGCGTGCGGAGCGGACCTCGCTCGGCTCGAGCTCGTGTGGTAGTATACGTGGGAAAACCGAGAGACTCGTCGATAGCGGCGAGCATCGATCTCGCGTTCGTTTTTTCGGCTTTTTCGATAAATTCGAAGGTAGGATGGGTGGATTCGAGGATGGGAGGCTTGACGAGATCGGTAAAGGCTATGGTGAAAATCGACGAGTTGGAGCTTTCGGCTGCTTTATGGCGATGACGACTGGATGAGTCGATTGGGTCATATTGGGTCATGGTGTTTATTGGCATCTCGTGTTTTTAATCGAGCATTCTTTTTTAAATAAATTCGAATTTTTTTTTATTTTCAAAATCGGAACTTTATGTATCGCGCGAGAAGAAAAAAGTTGCGTGGTGCGGTTGAAAAGGCAGAACAAAAAAACGAGCTTTGTATATCGCAGCGATGGCTCGATTTTTTAATGGATCTATGAAATTTCGATTTATTTCTCGATTTAACGATTTTTGTCGCTCGTTTAATTGAAAAATTTTATTTAAATCAACATTAATTAATCATTAAAATTCCCATTACAAACATTATCGCGTCGATGTAACTCGCGCACCGAATCCGGCCATCGAAAATCAACGAACCGACAATGGGGATTTTACTCGCGGAAACGATTCGCGATCCGAAAAACTCACCGGTACGAATCGTTAATTTTTCCAATAAACTGTGTAAAAATTACGCATCCTCCATCCTAATCATCGATTTCACCGCGAAAAAACGTCGATTACCAATTCCACTTTTAATTTTCGGCGATCGCCTATCGTAAACCTCGCGTAACGCGTACGCGACGCACACGTACGAACGTGCACGACCCATCGTCGCGATCTCACGAGTATCCGAGAAATTTGTGGAAAAATGTACCATCGCCGACTTTTTTCAATCGAAAATCCACTTATTTATTGTTGTTTGGCAAAAAAATTAACAACAACGATAATAACAATCGCTTTGCAAGAGCTACTTGCGCGTACCCTATAGCGCGACGCTATAGCTCGCACACGACGGCCTCGCGCGACGACCGCGTCGCTCGCAAAAACGGCTAAAATTGGACCCGTCCCACTCGATTTTGCCGCAAAAATCGACGGATTCGTCTCTCGGATCCGATGCCCGATGGAAAATCGACTTTTCCATTCAAAAATTACCGCACTACACCATTATCCGACATACCTGTTACTGCTCGTCCGACTCGCTTGGATACAAAGGCCGAAAAAAGCGCGATCGCTCGTTCAGCCCTCGAGCTCGTGGAATCGCGAGCCCGACCCCCATCAAACCCGATCCTCCGGGACCCTCTCGACGATCCCAGCCCTCAGTCCCAAAAAAATTTCCAAAAAATCCCAACGATCTCGTCGAATCGAGAAAAGCTCGGCACTGTCTCGAGTCTCGGCAACGATCAGCGCGCTAGCGACCCCAGGCTTTCCTCGACGCGGCCGATTATTTCCCGAAACGGCCGGATATTAGGCGGGATTTTTTCCCACCCCGACGTGGCACTGTCTTTGGCCTCTCGGCCGCCGAAAAATTCACCGAGCCCGCGGTCACCTCGTGGCCGGGGTGGCCCGTCAACGGCCGAGGGTGCGATCTCGTCCGCACAGAGGCCCCGGAGAAAAAGTCCGCGTACACCGCGTCGTTCGCGAGCTCGCGGCAAAATACCCGCGCAACGTCGAGGCCAGAGTCTCGTGGAGCCCGTACGAGGTCGCACGCCGACCCGGTGCCACTCGCTCCGGGTGATAATCCCGGTCGAAGCGGCGAAAGCGTACCAGAGCTTGAGCTTGTGGTCGGGCGCGCGAGGCGCAAGTCGCTCTGGGCGCCTCTGCGAGGTCCGCGCTCTGCCATGACTATCGCGACGCCGAGCTCGGCTCGCGCTATTATCCACTAGGCACTCGCGCGCTACGCATTGACTCAGTAACTTGCGGTACTATTCTCTCTGTATATCTATATAGAACTTCGGTGTTTGTATACCAATACAAAAAGCACGTGTAGCAGCAGCGCGACTCGTGTGTGTGTAATTTTCTCGAGTAAAGTAAAAAAAAGTTAAAAATGGCAGACAAGAGCGAGCAGGCAGCGAGCAGCGGTGGCGCGGCCCCGGCCACTGTGGGCCCCACCAAGAAGACGGGCCCGAGCAAGTCCGCCAAGCCCAAGAAGCCGCGCAGCAAGCCCAGCCATCCGCGCACCTCCGACATGGTCAACGCGGCCATCAAGGCCCTGAAGGAGCGCAGCGGCTCCAGCCTCCAGGCCATCAAGAAGTACATCGCGGCGAGCTACAAGGTCGACGCCGAGAAGCTGTCGCCCTTCATCAAGAAGTACCTCAAGTCCGCGGTGGTGGCCAAGCAGCTGGTCCAGGTCAAGGGCAAGGGAGCCTCGGGCTCGTTCAAGCTTTCAGCCGCGGGTGTCGAGGCCAAGAAGAAGGTGAGCCCGAAGAAGAAGAAGCCAGCCGCGTCGGCGGTCAAGAAGTCGCCGGCCAAGAAGAAGCCAGCGGCCAAGAAGCCCGCCGCGAAGAAACCGGCTGCCAAAAAACCAGCCGCGGCCAAGAAACCGGTCGCTGCCTCGTCGACAACGGCAGCCCCGGCTGGAGCCAGCAGCTCGGCGGTGGTTAAAAAACCAGCGGCAGCCAAGAAGAGCGTGAAGCAGCTGACGAAGAAGCCCAAGGCAGCGAAGAAGCCGGCGGCGGCCAAGAAGCCAGCGGCAGCGAAAAAACCCAAATCGGCGGCGGCTGCGAAGAAGCCCAAGGTGGCCAAGCCCAAGAAGGCGCCGGCGGCCAAGAAACCAGCGGCACCCAAGAAGAAGTAAATCTTTCGAGGATGAAGATTCGAGGATAGGAGTAGGTGCGGTTCCTTTTCAACTGAGTGTGGGCAACGTAATTCTATGAGTGACGATTAGAATTGCCTATAATATACATATATCTATACATATTATTATTATTATTATTATTATTATCATTATAAAGTGTATACGTGTGCGAGAAACGAACGAGCGAGTGAGTGAGAGAGACGAATGACCCGCGCGAGCGAATGGACGAGTAGTTATATACATTATTAGGATTATTATTACATCGATAATAGACATTTATGATTTTCTCGATTTTTATCTCTATATTCTTCTTTTGCGTCAAAGGCCCTTGTCAGGGCCAGCCCATTGAGTATACATATATATTATAAACGAAATATATATTATTAATATNATGTTTCGCGAGATTCCATATGTGACAAATACCCACGACACACAGACACACAGACACACGCAAACCATCGTTATATATGTATCGCATGTACATTAAGACTCGAATGATGATGTTATAATTCATTTATATATTACTATTATTATGATTTATAATTACTATTGTCGCCTTAAGCTACCACCTGTACATTGTTGTTTTGCGTTTGTAACGATCCAAAAAAAAAAAAAACATTAATTCATTATTCTTTTCTTCTTTGTTTTGCGAAAATATTTTAGACTTAGCCATTAATTAAGTTGTACATATTATACACACACATACACGCGGATATTGTCTTAGACAGGAAGAAAATAAGGAGATGTTAATCGTATTACTTTATAATTATTATTATACTTTATTAAAAAAATTGTGAATAAATATGATTTTTGATAAGTATATCGATATAAAAAAGAAAAGCAACGAGTTGAATCAATTGATCTTATAACCTTCTCACTATACCCGATACACGTCGATTCATTTTTGTTCGAGTATTATTTATCATTACTTTATCCGGAAATTCAAGAGTCAAAATTATCCAATAAAAAATCGTCGTAGTCGTCGTCATGTACAGCGGCCGGGTTCTCGTGGGCTTCTGGTTCAACAAGCTGCAGCTCGAATCGGTAAGTATATCCGAATCGCCGCCCCGGGTATGAGCGGATGACAAAATAAAAAAAAAAAAAAAACTTAATTGCGCGTGAAACGGAGCATGAAAAAGAGTGTCCCCAGCATCGATCGTCGATCGTCGATCCATAACCGCAAAAACTAATTTGACAAAATCCATAATTGCTCATCATTTTTTTTCTTCTCTTGACATAATGTCGGTCGTCGGTCGTCGAGATCTGCGTTACAAACAACGGAATCGAATGAATAATTTTATTATTAAATATCGTTTAAAGCTCGAGAGCTGCTGCTGCGGCGCTGCACACAAACACACACCGAGCGCATAATACAGAGAATGCACAGTCGCGTCTATTAATAAATCGGAAATATTTCGCGCGTTTCGTGGGAGGAGAGAGAGAGAGCACGTCGACGATTATAGTCGTGTATATAGTCAATTCGAATCGGCATCGGAGTAGGGATCATTATCGTGAAAAAATGAAAAAGAAAAAAAATTTAACGAGAACGAGGGAAAGAAAAGTTTTTGCCATTGAAAATTACCTTCTACGTAACTCTGTATACGCGTATATACATTTCGAGTCGCGCGCGCGTCACGCATTTTTGTAATCGACTTCGCGACGATAGCAACGGAAAAAGCGGGTAGTAGTAGTTTTATAAAGCGATTATTGTCCAAAAAAAAAGCAGGAAAAAAAAAATTGGGTCGTTCGGGGATACGCATCGTAGTAACGCGCGACTACGCCATACAGTGGACTTTATATACATATTGAATTATCTGAGGGGCCAATGGCGTTATCATCCATTGGATTTTCCCTATCGATTATAAATCGGGCGCGCAATTTAGGTGTATATAATACACACGCGCGCATACAGCGGGAAGCGAAAGTGGGTCAAACGTCTGTTTATTGTAGCACACACACACACACACGTACATTACATACACTCGTACATCGCGAGTCGCTTCAACTATTTCTAGATGCGGCGCATTCGGACTCGCTGTGTGTCTACACGCCCGCTGGATCCTTTTATAATATAATTTAAACAGCGCGACGACGACGACGACGACGACTCGTATACAGCCCTCGAGCGTATGCATCTACTGCACTGCACGTGTCTACGTTGCAAAGTTCAAGGCCGCGCGCCGAGCTTCGTTTTAAATTAAAGCGACGCGCGCATTTATTATTACAACAAAAAGAAAAATGTATATGTATACGCGTGTGTATGTACTACGCGTCCACGTGTCGCGGCGGCGATTGGGAATTCTAAAATGTGTAACAGACCTGTTACGAGGATATAAATTTTTTTTCTTTTACGGTGCCTAATTTTTTCCCATGGCCGATAGTTTTATCTCTGTGTGTATACATAACGGCGAATAAAGCGATATTCGCGCGGCGGGTAAAAAAACTTTCACTCGCGCCCGCGAGGCACATTGCGCAATCTACGTAATATAATTATTATAATTCCGCGCTCGGGGAGAAAGAGAGTAACAACGATAAAAATCGATCGAGAGCGACGATAATTTTTTTTTTATTTGTCCGTTGTTGTAAAAATCAATGTTGCAGGAGCAGCGCGAGCTCGAGAAGAAGCGCTTGGAGTCGGGCCAGCTGCCGGAGCAGATCAGGCGGCGTCTCGTGGCGGCCTTCGGTCGTGCTCTGCGTTTCACGGAGTCGCCCGCGAGCCACTGCGACCGGCCGATCCGCTACGGGGACGGCCTGCAGCTGCACAGTCCCGAGTCGCCCGACGTCTCGGACTCGCTCGCCGCGGATTTCGGCTGCCCGGAGGAGGACCCCCAGGCTCGGGGACCGTCACGCCTCGGCCTCGTCGTCTCGGCCACCGTGTCCCAGTCCGACTGCGACTCGGGCCAAGTGCGCGGCATCCGAGACGGTTGCGGCGTGGCCTGTGCGCCGATCGGCGGCCAGCCCTGCAGCGTCAACAACAGCTTCGTCTGCGTCAAGGCCAACCGCAAGGACTCGAGGGACGAGGAGCTGCTGACCTACGGCACCGAGGTGTTCTTCGCTCTGGCCTGGGTGGTGGGTGCAGCGGGTAAGGCTCCGCTGTACCTGAGGATGGAGACGCCGCTGCTCGACGGCCAGTACGTGGCCAACGATCACTATCCGTTGAGGCTGAGCTCGAGCCCCGACGGCTACGCCAAGTGGCGCGTCCTGCACTGGGACAGGTCGCGCAGATTCGAGACCGAGGCCTCGCCCGTGCTGCCCTGCGTCAGGTTCGTTCGATCGAAGGAGAGAGAGAGAAAAAAAAAGAAATTTATATGACGGACGAAGTCGATGAATTTTGCAGAATCGTCGTTCAGCACGTGATGACGGGCCAGTGTCTGGCCTGCGAGCGATACCACTGGCATCGGAGTCTGCTCGGCTACGAGGCCGGCCTCTCGGTGCACACGTACAGCGACGCGCAGCGCAACGAGACAGCCGAGTGCGTCTGGAATCTGCTGCCGCTCGGGCCCAGCCAAAATCTCGAGCTCGAAGGTGACGACGATAACAACGATGGTAACGAGTCGACGAGCTGCTGCTGCGGTTGCGAAAATCGATGATTAGGGTAGTAGCGGAGTTATTCGTGCTATTTGGACAGAAAAAAATGAATGAATGAACGAGAAAGAGAGGAAATGTATAATTGTGACATACTTATTATGAGTTATAAAGACACTCGAGAGAAGTAAACATTGCGAAAGACCGTGCGTGTGTGTATTTTTGTGATGAGTTTTATTTTTAGACAAAATAAGTAAAAACAGATTTATAAATGTATGCATTATATATTAGGTACGGCAAAAATACTATTTTTACATATTCTCGTACAAAAGCGAGTTGATACACTTCGTTTTGTCTCTCTCTCCCTTCTCGAGTGCGCGCACACAATTCAACTGGGCTCGATACACTCGATTATAAACTTTTCTTTTACTTTTTTTTTTTAAATCAACTTTATAAACAGAAAAAAAAACTAAAAATTCTAACACAAAAACTTATTTATGGCTCCTCCCACCCTCTGGCGTTGCCGAAAAAGGGTACGAGAGTTAACAGACTAAATGAAAGAGTAAAGAAGTCAATTTTTATACATAAATATAATACAAGTACGTTTTAAACATCGAATACTTTCTCTCTTTTCTCTCATGCAGACGAGACGATACAAGACGTACAAATTTCACCTAGGTGTATAGATGATAATAAAGAACGAACGAAAAAAAAAGATCTAAATGTTTGAATAAACCATTTCATCGTCGACTGTGTTCATTTTTAAAATATACCCTAGCTATCTCTGAGCCCTGAAAATAGAGCTCTGCGAGTGGAAAAGTATATATATTTAAATTTCATCGAGGCACACGTTTACTCGTCAAAGTGCACCGGCTCAAATTTTTCCGAACGTCTCTTCTTCTTTTTTTTCTTCTTTTTGCGGCTCGCGTCGCTGAACACGTAGCTGCCGCCGCTGTCGTTTTTATCCTCAACTTTGAACGACTTATGTAACTTCACTTTGTTGTCCTCGCCGTCGCTGCTCGACGATTGATAAAATTTTTTCACGGGAGAAAGTTGGTTCTCGCTCAAATCCATTTTTGAGGTGTCCGTGTCGTCGGAGACTGCATAATTGCCACAGATGTTGAGAATTTCAGCCATAATTTGACCCTGATTCAGTGGGTTTTTCGGCTCCGATCCTTTTTTCTTCCTTTTTGGCGCAGAAACGACAGCTTCGGCTTCTTTTTTCTTCTTTTTTGTCTCTTTCGGAGCTGTTTCAGCCTCGTTTTCAGCTTTGCGCTTTTTAGAGGCTTTTTTCGATGGTTGTTCAACTTCAGTGACTTCATTTTCAGTTACCGCTTCGACAAAGTTTTTCTTTTTCTTACTAACTTTGGGCTTGTCTTGCAAAGGAACTTCTATACTTTCTTCTATTGTTTCAGCTTCTACAAGCTTTTTATTTTTTTTACTTTTTTTTGGCTTTTTATTCATTGAAACTTCGTCATTTTCTTCGTTGATTTCCTCGTTATCAGTTTGCTTTTTCTTTTTCTTACTAATTTTTGGATTTTCATCTAATATTTCTTCTTTAGTTTCATCTTTTATCTCACCGTTTTCCACAAGCTCTTTCTCCTTCTTTCTCTTTTTCTTTTTCTTCTTAACCGACGTATCTTCTGTATTATCTTCTACGATTTCAACTTTTTTAATGTCATCTTTTACTTTTGTCTCATTTTTCGCTGATATTTTTTCGCTGAAACTAGCAAGCTTTTCATCAAACTTTTGTGACGTAGAAGTTTCGTCTCCGCTTGAAATGTCTTTCGTCTTTATTTTCGTTTCCTTAATTTTCATTTCCTTCGTCTTCGTTTCCTTTATTTTCTTTTGATGTTTTTTGGGACTCTTCAGTGGTCGTATTAAGGCAGGTTTACGAATGTCATTGTCAGTATCAGAAGTCAATTCATCAAGATTACATACAGCATTATGCGTAGGCTTTTCAACCTTATCGTCATCAGAATCCGAATTTGATGCTTCCAAACTTTTATTTTCAGTAGCTTTTAATTTTTTTTTATTAACTACTGGAAATGAGAACATGGTATTTTTGCTAAGATTCAGACTGGAATTCCGATTTTCATCTGAATCTGAGCTAGAGTCATTGAACTTGAGATCTTCATGAACTATTACTGGTTTTGACGGGGAAGAGATTTGTGAAGCAGAAAGTACACTTTTATTAGTAACTTTTTTGCTTTCAGTATTTACTTTAACCCGTTTGAACTCTTCGAATTCGGAATCTGATTTTGTAGTAAATTCTGATTTTTCAATAAGCGGTTTCTTAGCTGCTACTGCTTCAGGAGCCGCAGATGATTTTCTCTTAAGAGCTGCAGCTTTCTTTTTTGAATTTTCTTTTGTAGCTGGTAATTCTGCTGGTGTTTTCTTTTTCTCTGCAGATTTCGTCAAATTAGAATTTTCTTCACTTACGTTATCGTTTTTAACAGTTTTTTTGGGAGATTTTATTTTAGCTGGAGCTTTTGTTGATTCAGAATTTTCTTCTTTCACAATCTCATTCTTTTTAGGTTTTGCAGGTGCTTGTTTCTTGGCTGGAGTTTTCTTCAATTCAGAATTTTCTTCACTTGTGTTCTCAGCCTTTTTAGGTTTTGCCGGTGCTTTTTTCTTAACTGGAGTTTTCTGTAATTCAGAATTTTCTTCGTTTACGCCATCATTCTTAGAAACTTTTATGGGAGATTTTACCTCTGCTGGAACTTTAGTTGAATCAGAATTATCTTCTTTTACACTATCGTTCCTTATAACTTTTATGGGCGATTTTATATCAACCTGAGCTTCTGGTAATTCAGAATTTTCTTCTTTCACGATCTCATTCTTTTTAGATTTAGCAGGTGCTTTTTTCTTAGTTGGAGTTTTCTTCACTTCAGCATTTTCTTCACCCGCGTTTTCACTTTTAGGTTTTGCAGGTGCTTTTTTCTTAGCTGGAGCTTTCTTCACTTCGGCATTTTCTTCACCCGCGTTTTCATTATTTTTGGGTTTTGCAGGTGCTTTTTTCTTAGCTGGAGTTTTCTTCACTTCAGTATTTTCTTCACCCACGAGTTCATTATTTTTGGGTTTTGCAGGTGCTTTTTTCTTAGCTGGTGTTTTCTTCACTTCGGTATTTTCTTCACCCGCGTTTTCATTATTTTTAGGTTTTGCAGGTGCTTTTTTCTTAGCTGGAGTTTTCTTCAGTTCAGAACTTTCTTCAGTTTTACTTTCGTTATTTTTTACAGGCGTTTTAGTTAGTTCAGAAACTGCGTCAGTTTTATTTTCGTCCTTTTTCGGTGATTTTTTCGGTGTCTTTTTTGGGGTCTGTTTGACACTTTCATTACTTGGATTGCTACCATTCATTAATATACTCGTGTCTACAGAAGTCTCGAGGTCTGCCTTCGAATCATTGAATTCAACTGTTTGATCCAAATCAGAGTGAAGCTTTTTTCTGGTTGCAGTAACGAATGCACATGGCCGAATATTAACTAGAAAAGTATAGTCATAATGTTAGTATTTTATTCGCACTAAAAAATTTAAATATCGTGCTTTTACTCACCCATTTTGTAAGAGTCAGATTTATCATTTTTTTTAAATACGCATGACAGCGTGGGTAATTTCTGCTTTTGTTGAGCTACATACTTATTATCACCAATTGACAAAGTCCCCCTTATAATATGCAATTTTTGACCAACTAAATTCGTATTGAATGCCTGTGAATACATAACAATTGATGAAGTTAAATACGTCCGTCATAAATTTGTAAAAGAAACTTACATTTTTAGGTAAATTGACAACGAATATTTCTTCATCTGATGATATATCATCCTGAGCAAATGTTGTTGTAAATGATTTTTCTTGTAAATGATCCATCTCAACGAGCTGAGAAATCTGAAATTCAAACAATTAATTGATTAATGTATTAAATCAATTAATCAATGCAATAAAAAAAAAAAGCTTGAGCTCTTGACATACCTCCACTGGTTTCTCTTTTGGCTTTTCTTTTGGCTTGGCCTTTGGCTTTGCTTTTGGCTTTTCTTTCGGTTTCTCTTTGGACGGTTCCTTGGGCTTTTCGTTTACCTCTTCAACTACGATTGAATCAGCTTGTAGTATCTGTTCTTTCTGCTCTGAATTTTCTTCCAAATGAGATTGATCGTTATCTATGCTTGCTTGTTGAATCGCTTGTTCCTCTGTACTTTGTTTATTTTCATTGGAATCGATCTGTGAAAGGCCCATGAAAATATCTTGAGACATGGCTTGATTTTCGTTATCTTCGATCGTACGCACGAGCGACTTGCGTGCAGATTCCGAATCTGACTCTTCGCTCGAAGAAGATGTGAAGTGCGTCGGAACTTGACCCTTTGATTTTTTCGGTGGCTTGACATCGATGCCCTCTTTGCTGTCCAACTGAAAATCGTCCGAAACGCTCTTTTTCACTTCCACTTTTGGCTTCTTCGGGGAAAGATTTGGAGCTGATTTTTCCTGACTTTTACTATCATGCATGGATAATCTTATCTTTGCTATTTCTTTATCAGAATCTTCAGACTCAGAAGTCTGCATTAGAGAATCCATAGGATTACTGATTTTTCTTTCATTTTTCGAATCATTTCTAGACTTACTTATAGGACTTGTCTTGGCAGTGTTTTGACTGTGCACAGAAGACTTCATCTCCTCCAATATAGCATCGGAATCTTCAGAGTCTGCTTTGGTAATCAATTCAGAGTGAGTTGAAGATTTCATTTTTTCCAACTCTTTTTCAGAATCTTCAGAACTAGAACTGGAAACTTTTGGTTTCTGAGTCAAAGGTGGTGATTTTCTATTGATGTTTTGCTTGGAATTTTTTGAATCGCTGTCGGAGCCTTTTTTGGTGAAGGACTGAGAAAGAGCTGATGATTTAATTTTCTCCAACTCTTTGTCTGAATCTTCAGAACTAGAACTAGAAACTTTTGGTTTCTGAGTCAAAGGTGGTGATTTTCTATTGATGTTTTGCTTAGGATTTTTTAAATCACTGACAGAGCCCTGTTTGGCGGAGAATTGAGAAAGTAATGATGATTTCATTTTTTCCAGCTCTTTTTCAGAATCTTCAGAACTAGAACTGGAAACTTTTGGTTTCTGAGTCAAAGGTTGAGATTTTCTATTGATGTTTTGCTTAGAATTTTTTGAATCACTGTCGGAGCCTTTTTTAGTGTAAAACTGAGAGAGAGCTGCTGATTTCATTTTCTCCAATTCTTTTTCAGAATCCTCAGAACTAGAACTGGAAACTTTTGGTTTTTGAGTCAAAGGTGGAGATTTTCTGTTGCTTGTTTGCTTTAAATTCTTTGAATTCGGAGAGCTTGCTCCGGTGATCAGTTGAGAGTAAGCTGATGACTTCATTTTTTCCAACTCCTTTTCGGAATCTTCAGAACTGGAACCGGATACTTTCGGTTTTTGAGTTAAAGGGGCAGATATTGTACTTTTTATTGGTTTCTTCGCCTCGAATTCCATTTCAGAATCATCTGAACTAGAATCATGTGATACCTTAGATTTTTTCGTCAGCGATAGAGAGATTTTCCTTTTTTTTCTTCTTTGCGTAGCACTGTCAGAATCTGAACTCAACGATTTTTTATCATTTTTCTTCTGTTTAGGCGATAATATTTTTTTCGATTCTTTTTCGGAATCTTCCGAATCAGAATCACTCGATACCTTTGATTTTTGTGCCAAAAGCAATGACTTTACATGAATGTTCGGTTTTGTGGGTGATTTTGCTTTTTTAAATTCTTTTTCGGAATCTTCGGAATCAGAATCACTCGTAGCCTTCGGTTTTTGAGTCAAATGCGATGGCTTTCCATACTTTTTAGGCGACTTACTTTTAGGGCTTATTTTGGTATTATTTTGACTATACTGAGAAGACTTCATGCTCTCCAATATTGCATCAGAATCTTCAGAGTCCGATTTTTCCTTCAAATTTTGATTTTTCTTAGCGCTCTTAGCTTCCGAATCACTCGAGGAATCCTTCTCTAATAAAGAAAGTATGGACGAGTTTGGTTTATCCAATTTCTTTTGTGTGTCATCAGAGTCCTTTTTGGGGAAGAATTGAGAGAGAGCTGCTGACTTCATTTTCTCCAATTCTTTGTCAGAATCCTCAGAACTAGAACTGGAAACTTTTGATTTTTGACTCAGAGGTGGAGATTTTCTATAGCTTTTTTGCTTGGAATTCTTTGAATCACTTGCAGAGCTCGCTTTTGTGGTCAATTGAGAGAAAGCTGATGCCCGCATTTTTGCCAATTCTTTTTCGGAATCTTCATCAGAATCAGAATCACTTGATACCTTTGGCTTTTGAGTATTTTTTTCTTTCATTTTCGTTTTAGAAGTACTGTCAGAATCAGAGCTATTTGCAGAATCACTCAATTCTTTTGGTTTTTGAGTGAGCGGAACAATTTGTTGAACGCTTTTTTGTAATTCAGTTTTTACATTAACTAATGAAAGTTTTTTACTGTTCATTTTATTGTCTTCAGAATGATCAGAGTCACTAGATTTGTTGGAATTTTCAGTAAATTGAAATCTCACTTTATTCTGATTTAATTTCAAACTTTGCCTACCTAAGTTTCCATTTTCATTTGACTTTCTACTTTTAAGAATAGAGTCATAAAGTTTGGGTTTTACAGCCGAAACATTTAAATTATTTTCCTGACTGTTATTAACTTCGTAAGACTTTTCATTTTCTTCTATGTCAGATAAACTAACAAAACCTTTTTTGTGACTTGAATCACCTCGGATTGTTACTTTAGATGTACTCAATTTATTATCCATTGCAGAACCATCGGTATCAGAATTATCATCTCCATTTAATAAAGCATCAAACTCATTTTGACATTCTTTTGATATTAATTGATCATCATTTATGTCGGAAACATCTGAATCAATTTGTTTTTGACCAGGTTGAATTCTTTCAGGGTCAGAATCACTGTCTAAATCTTGCTCCTTCTTTTCAGCAGATGTACTATATCTACCGCTATTAGCAAAATTATCATAATCATTACTAATAGAATTATTTTCTTGATCAGACGGTTTCTTTTCCAAAGATTTTCTACCATATGATAGTAGAGAATCCTCGGAACTTGAATCATTAGTTACACTCAACTTTATAGATGAATGATCTTTATCTTTAGATGAATTGTTAACATTTTTTTTATTATTTTTTGTATCAAAATCAGACTTTTCACTATCACTGTCAGAATTGAAATTTTTAAGTTTATCAACGTCATTTTTATTGTTTGATAACTTATTATTTTCTTTATAATTATCAGAGTCTACTTTCATCTGTTTAATTTTGCTGCTTTCAACTTTAAAATTGATATCTTCACTGGCACTTGGTTTTTGTTCACTTTTGTACTTTTTGTATTTAATGTGAGTATCTTGACTTGGTAAGATTATATCATCATCATCACTAGATTGTTCATTTTGGCCATCAAAAGATGCATTTCCATTTTGGGCAATTGATATAGGATCAATGTCACCATTTTTTAATGTAAGCATATTGTTTTTATTAATATTAAGTTCACTTTGAACTTTGATTTCCGGAGATTTCTGATAGTCATCGGTCATATTTTCATCTATTAATTGATCAGCACTTGCCAGTTCATTTGTTTTCAAATCTGTTACATCTATTGATTTTGCTTTGTTGCTTAATTTTTCTGTAACTTTTATTGAATTTGAAGAAGTATTATTGTCCTCAATGTCTGATTCTTGAGATAGCTTGTTTTCATTTGACGAACTTTCTTCTGAATGATCAGAATCTTTCATTATTCTCATTTTTTTAAGCTCTTCGTATTTTTTAATTAAGTACGGAGATCTTGGTTTTTTATCTGATGATTTACTTTTTTTCAATTTATCATTATTGGCTTGGTTGTCAGAAGAAGAATGAGAAATCTTGTGAGATATTTTGCTTTCTGCCCCACTTTTTAAACCATCATTAGGTAATATGAGTTTTTTATAAACTTTTGATTGAAATGGATTACAAATAATTTTGAATCTTGTTTGAAGTGTTTGATCTTCTATAATTTTAGGTGGTGATTTATGAGAGATTTCTGTGTTTTGATCTTTCAAACACTTTTCATTTTCTACAACTTTTACTTTTTCAACTATTTCTTTACTTTTTGCTACATTTCCTAATTTATCACTTTTTGTATCTTCTTCAATACCTGAATCTCCAGTTTGGCTAATCAAATTTTTAGGCTGTTGCTTATTTTTGATATTAGTTTTTTTGTTACTTTTTTCTTGAACAGTATCAGAAAAAATATTTGTACTGTGTCCTTGAATATCTGAAGGTGCAAAATCATTCCAAGTATCATCTACTACATCAAAATTATTCAGATCACCTTTATTTGTGGACTTTTGAACAGTTTTTTCATTTTGTTTGGGTAATTCTTTTTTCACAGTTTTTTGCTTACTATCTTTTGGTTTCAAGCTTTTCAATTTTTGAGAATTATTTAAGCATTCAGTAATTTTTAATTGTCCACTTGATTTTGATTTTTTTGGTGGTGGCTTAGGACGCACAGGTTCTTCAGTTGATACAGAACTGGAATTTGTTTGTTGCACACCTGTATTAGAAAGTGTTGAACTCTGCTCAGAAAATGAGTTTTTTTTGTGCTTTTTCAGCGTGTAGTTCCAAACAAAACAATCTTTGGTTACAAGTATATCGCTTATTTTTGTACAATTACTATCCATCGTGGAATTGAACAATGCTTCATCGGCACCAATGTCACCATCCATTTCAACTGCAAAATCTTCGTATTGACAATTTACACTAGTCTTCATTGCCTTGTAATCGTTGTAATTTCTGTAACATCTTAATCTGGTCGATAAATGATCATTGGCTGCCTGAGTTCTTTTCTGAAGAGTTCCTACTTTGAGTTCCGGATATTCGTCGTCCAATCCTTCTTCTTCAATCCGATTATGAATGAAAGTCCAATCTATAGCTTGATCTTCCTGATCGTCCATTTTTTCCTTTTTACAACATAAGAGTCACGAGACAATCAAAAGCCTTGTATCGCAGTAACGTTACGAACTCGAGCTATCTGCAAAAAAAAGAATTTCATGAGCAATTTTCAAACATCACGTATGCGCAAAGATCGCAGTTGTCTCTTAACCTCTCTTCTCATCCTATCGCGTGCACTGATAGTATCGCGAGCAATAACAGCACCTTGAAAATAATCGAAACGAGCCCCGACGCTGGATAATCGCGCAACAAGTTCGTCGAGTGGACGAGCCGCAATTCTTCAATCGACTTTACGCACTTTTGGCTGCAGGATGTACCACTTATTTAGACTGTCAAATGCGTTGCAGTGTACACACACTAACTACGAAAAAGTAGTGTAGCCAGCCGATGCGGTATTTACGCGCTTCGTGCGGCACCACGTGCGTGTCTCTGCACCAAGTGGCCGTATTTACATGTTATATACGAAGGTCCATTGTGTGTTTAATGTAGGTAATAGAGAACGCGCGAGAGTTCGATGATAATGATGGATGAAGGGTTGATATCACGATTCACAGATATTCAATTTAACGTTAATTTATTTCTTCAATAATTATGTAGTTTTAACGAAACAAAAAAATTTTTTCTCATTGTCGTTGATTCATACGCTTTCAATACTGCATAGAGATTGCTTTCTTTTTTTTGAACTGTCACAAAAGAAAAAAAATACATAAAAAAATCCTCGATTACAAAAATCATTCCAAACACTTCACGTATCACAAAAACTTCAATTAACAATAATTCATACTGTCACAAAGTATCTGTTCCAAACAAATCATATCAATTATATATTCTAATATATCGACTAAAATTAAACATAATTTTCAAACACTTATCGTATGCATCTTTTGTGCGCTAGAATAAAAAAAAAAACATAAAAACAAATTACATTGACATAATAGGAATCGAGAAACTACATATAGGACTAGAAATGACATAAATAAATTAGGCTTTTTTCTTCGAAGAAGCGCCGCTGCTGGCTACCTTCTTTTTCGAGGCAGGTTCCGCGCTGGCAGCAGCAGCGGTCCTCTTCTTCTTGGCTGGCACGGCGTCGTCCTCTTTGCTGCGCACCATCTTGTGCTTCAACGCTATCTTGGGTTTCGCCGGGGGGGCGCCGTTCTCCTTGGCCTCCTTCTTCTTCTCCTCCTTCTTCTTGGTCTTCAGCAAGTCCTTCTTCATGTCGGGGCTGAGCTTCCAGTGGCTGTTGGCGCTCATGCCCGTGCCGGCCACCTGGACCAGCCAACCGTCGTCGGTGGCCTTCTTCAAGAGCTTGCCGATCAGCAGCTTGCGCTGGGCCGTGATCTCGTAATTCTTGTCGCAATAGTTCTTGATGGCTTGCGAGGTCGATCCCTTGCGATCGTTCAAGGTGCTGATGGCTTGGATGATCATGTCCTTGGTCGTGAGACTCTTTGCCGAAACCTGAAACAACGATGCGATTCATCGGTTTAGTTTTTGAAAAAAAACAAAAAAAATTACATTCTACGTAGAATCGCGTCAAACCAGTGCGTTCGGGCTCGCGCGTGATTCGGGCTAATGACTCGGCCCCGTGATTTCCGAGAAATCAGCGACACGAAAACAATAATACCACGGGCGCCTCGAGTACATATACACACTTCGTAACGGGCACCAACGCCGTACGAGCAACGCAATTTGATATTTGGCCGAGTGATCAACCATTATCATTGTCATTTTCGTAGCGAGAGGCATATGGTTATTAATTTTCGAAAACGCCTGATCTCGACGTCAAAGATCTCCCTTGGCAACCGCGCGCAGCGAGATAAAAAAAATGTCACGTACGCGCGCGCCATCGCGATATTTTCATTAAAAGATTTAGTTCAGAGAGAGAGAGAGAGAGAAAATAGACAAAAACATTTCTATAGAGGCTCACCTCGGACATCTTGGCTGCGGGTTCTTTATTCGCGACTCGGGCGATCTTTCGTGGCTTGCTCGACGATGCAGCGGCTGCGGCCTCGGTGGTGGACGTCGTAGCCTTCCTCTTGAGCGCTGCCGATTCTTTGGCTGTTGCGCCGGAACTGCCGCCACTAGTAGCTGTAGCTGTAGCAGCAGCGCGGCTTTTTGTTACTTTTGACGTAGCTGTATTATTGGACGCAGCTGTAGCGGCTGGATCCTTTTTCGCGCGACTGGTACTCTTGCCGGTGGTGTTGGTCGTCTGCTTGCGAGGTTTACTCGACGACGATTGCTTAGCGACGACGGCTTTCTTCTCTGCTGATTGTTTCTTCTTACTGTTGGTCTTTTTTTCAACGACTTCTTCTACCGGCTCTTCTTCTTCGTCGTCCTCATCTTCCTCGTCTTTTTCGTCGTCCTTTTCGTCGTCGTCACGATCGAACCTCACCCCTTTCGCGACTTTATCACTGACTTCGGAATCCGAATTTGTACCCGACGCGTGCGAATCTGCGTCCATGCTGTCGTCCTTCTCCTCGTCATCCTCTTTATCCTCTTGACTGTCGGACGAATTTTTCTTGATTTCCATGGTGAGACGCGGATCGGGTTTCGGCTGCACCACCTCGTCTTCCACCTCGTCGCTCGAGACCTCGTCCGCTACCTCCGCGCTTTCCTCCCCGCTGAAGACCTCGTCTTCCATCGAGTCGTCGGACTGGGACATGATGCCGACGGCGTCGTCGTCTTGGTTTTCTTCGTGCGACGACGACGACGACGTCTCCGACTCTTCCGAGGTCATGCCCCCGATAACGGGGTTCTTCTCCTCCTCGCGAGGAGCGATTTGTGCTCGTTTACCTTTTCTGTGCATTCCGAGCTATTCTGGAGTCGAATTACGAATGATCGAGCGAGAAATTTTTCAACGCTGTGTATAGGGCTTACACACAGGTTCCACGCGCGAGATTGGAAATACGACTCCCCCTCCACGAGGATTTTGCAGAAATCGGAGAGGTGAAAATTCGTCAAATTTTATACACATGTACGGTACACGCGTTATCAATGCGTGCGTTATTACCTGTTGCGCGAGGCTTTTGAATTCTGCGCCTAGCGGAGACGCGCGAGGCGGGAAATGAGAAACGAAGTCGTTGAATAGTTCAATATCGTTATTTTTTTATTAATACATTTTATCACTGGACAATTTTATACAAATAGAGTATTCAAAGATCATTCAAACTTTACATTGTCATCTTTGCAGAGGATGAAGCAAGTATATTTTTACAAAAATAGTTTCGATACTGCTTCAGCAATTTTACAATTGATAATTTTAAATGCATTGGAAATACGATCAAATCCACAAAGCAGCAATAAATCTGGTATGAAATGCTAAATAATACGAAACGTTAGGACGTAAAATGGAAATTATTTACAGTTGCAATGGTACTTACATGTTTTATAATACATTATATTATTAATAACAAGTTCATACATTTATCAGCTTAAAAAATAATGAATATACTATCAGTAGATTAGTAAAAATGATATATGGCGATGTTAATAAAAGTTATATGAATATATACACGAGAATGTAAATATTTTGTGGATTTGGTCATAAGATGCAGTTTCAAACTTAATGGTCATTTACTACTAATCCTAAAGATTACATACAATATCATAACTTTTTTTAACAATTTTTCCATAATAATATCACTTAATATGAGTGGGATGAGTTATTGAATTCAACTTGCGTGAAATCTTGATACTTAAAAATAATTGATGGATCGTAAATACTTCCGAGTCTCATACAAATCTTTTCAGATTCTCAATCTTACATATCAATTATGTAAACGTTACTTAAAAATTAATGTGTATGCATTTATCACATTTATAAAGAGCAAAACATAATGTTTATGAAACATTATCAGTTGTATCACTGCCACTGGTCGTATTGGACGTGGATAAATTCCTAGTCATCAGCGGTAATTCAAAATGCCAATCAGCACTGGTATTAGCATCGGTACTTTGACTAGTTAGAACCTGACTTTTATTAACAAGTGGAGGTCGGGCTCTGATGCCAAGAGTCGTCGGACGTCTCTCCGGATTAGAATCGAGCATCAATTTTAATAATTTATACTGAAACAAACGATTATCAATATATCATCAAAGAATGAAACAAGATAAAGCTTATACTTGATTCAAATTGAGTATTTTCTTATTAAAAAAATGAATTTTACCTCTTCTGGATACTTGGTGTCAAAACCATCAGGATAAGTTGATTTTCTCAAATTTGACAAAGCAACAACTCTTTCCATTTCCGTATCGAAGGGTATCAGCAATTCAAACAATATTATTCCAAGTGAGTAAATATCAACTTTATAATTGTAATGGTCTCCATTCATCTGCTCCGGAGACATGTATAAGGTTGTTCCTACTTGAGCAGTGTGCTTTTTGAAAATTTTTAATTCACCCGTTGATGTGTTAGATTGTGTTTGATCGGCACCGATGCCCTCCATCATCGCAGTTACCAGCCCAAAATCGCCAATTTTTATTTTATCGTTGAGGGCAAAGAAAATGTTTGAGGGCTAAAATATAATTGTTTTTTATTATAATTGCATGTGTAAATTTGAATATTAAATTTTAAGTAAAAAAATTTACTTTTAAATCACGGTGTATTAATCCTTGAAGATGAACGTACTCAACGGCATCGATAATTTGTAAAAACATATTCAATACTTGAGCAATATTACGTGTTTTATTTGCTTTCAACCACTCTCTGAGACTTAGTCTTTGGCACAGTTGCATCTGTATATAGAGGAACATTTTTGGATTTGATTTATAACTATCCTTTCGTTTTCTTAAATTTACGTTCAATTGTGATTTTCGCTCAGATAATGATGACTTTTTAGATTTAGAATTTTCGAAAAATATTGATTCCTCTGTAGCTTCAGATTTTCCATCGTGAGATTCTGCAAAAACGATTGAATCGCTATATCCTGATTTACTTCTTTTTGATTCCGAATCCTTACCGGCTGAATTAGCAAAAACTATAGATTCACTGTTTTCTGATTTATTTGACATTGAAATCGAATCATCATCACCAGAATTTCTAAAAACGATTGATTGTTCGGAATCTTCTGGATCACCTATTGTTGATTCCGATTTATGTCCTGTAGAATTTTGAAATGCAATAGATTCATCAGAATTTAGTGGATCATTTATTGTTGACTCTGATTTGTGACCAATAGAATTTTGAAATACAACGGATTCGTCGGAATCATCTAGATCATTAGTGTTTGACTCCCATTTGTGACCAATGGAATCTTCAAAAACGACTGATTCGGAATCTTCTGATTCTTCACTTTCTGCTTCCGTTTTTTCTCTCTCATTTTCTCCACCCTTTTTCACAATGTTTTTACGTTTATTATCAGATCGAGGAGAAGTATTTACGTAAGCGTTCATGTCGAGTGCCTCCCAAGCACTATCCACTGAAACTGTATCACTTGATAATGCGTCGATATTTTGCGACGAGTCAACCGCAGTCGAATCTGCAGTAATATCCGAAGCAGTAAAGTCATTTTTCTTACACCATTCTCTATCATGATCTTCTACCCATTTTGGTGGAGGGCACTCAAGCCAAGAATTGAAATAACGAACTATGTTGTGATGTTCGAGCTTTGCCAAAGCTTTAACTTCGCGCATAACGCGCTCTCTAGACGATTGACTAAAATCAAGTTATCAGTTTAGTATTTGTTATATTAATGGATATGAAAAAAGTTTTTCATGTATTACCTGTTTGGTAAAGCGATTCTTTTAATGGCATAATTACAATCGTCTATTTTATTTTTAGCTTCGAAAACAACACCATAACCACCCTTGCCAAGGCAGGCAACTGGTTGATAATCTGTCAAATAACGAGATTGAAAATTTTCACTGTCTTCGCTCACAGATTTTCGAGGTTGTTCCGTTGAATTTACTACGTGAAATTCATAAGAGAAAGGCTAAAAAAAGAATATTGAACGAATTTAATTGAAGAACCTTGAAAACACAAATAAATATAAAATCTCATATTTACCGGTGGCACAGCATTTTTTGTTTCTTTCTCATTTAAATATTTGTGCGTTATGTAATAGTTAAGTAAAAGTGCAGACGTAATGGAAATAATAGCAATTTCTCTCCTGTAAAAATTATTAACAAAAATTATTTATTAATTAATTAGGGGATAATGTGTAAAGTAAAAACTTACCACCAATACCATAAAGAAACTATTATAACTTGGACTTGAGTATCATCAATTTCTTCATCAATAAGTGAAGGTTTTCTGGCAGGCCTAATTATGCGTTCTGTTTTATTGAATTTATTATCCTTTGCAAAAGGGATTTCTTTTCTGGGATATAAATAATATCCATTTCCTAAAAATTAATATTAATGAGATCATAAAAATGAATATACAAAATGTTTCATTCTTTTAGTTTACCATTCACATATTCCGTGTTATATAGAACGGATAATGCAGTTGTACTATCAACATCATTTGGCTTTTTATATACAATATTCTTCCAACTTCCGTCCTTATCTAAAACTGGGTAAGGTCTCCAAGGGTATTTGACCAGTGATTTAGAAAAAGCGTCAAGATGTTCATTAATGTATGGGTTTTCTTGTATGTACAGTTGTTTGGCATACATGCCAATGTACAAGCCAGGGTTTGAAGTGTAATTTGGATCTAATACTGGGTTAGCAGGAACTGAATCAAATAGATTCAATTCCTTCAATTGAGTTAATTCACCGTTATCAATGACTTGATCTTCTTTCCACACCGATACAATTGGAGCATCAAACTGAAAACATAATAGTTGCAACATAATTCAAAATTAGAAATGGTTAAAAATGTTTCTTATTAGATTAAAAAGATGGAATTACCTTATATTCCCAAAGTTTAATTGTAGAATTTTTATCTTTATATGCAGTCAGTAGTCCATCTGGCACAACAGCTCTTAGATCAATTGTCAAGTTGAATGTACTACTCAGATTACAATTAGAATTAGATTTAGGAATAATACTTAAATCATGAAGTCCAACACTGAAATTCCATCTAAAAATTTAAATATAAAATTAAATATAAAATAAATTAATCTGCATTTAAAATTTTTTGAGTTATTTGTTAAAAAATGAAAAACCTTTCTATTCCTGTTTTTGGCTCTCCTGCTCTCACAATATGTTGATGTCGTTGGACAACAAGCACATCTTCATCTTCTTGTTTTTCTTCTTTATTATTTGCATCATTGCAACTTCTCATTATACATTCATAAATGACTTTACCTGTTGAACTGGAAATCCCTATATAATATTAAAATATAAAATATGATTATATTGGTTTTTAATTATCAATATAAACAGAATGACAAATTTACCATATGTTCTGGTTTCTTTGCCTCCAGAAAAAATCAAGTTATCGGAATATCTGTAAGATGATTTTAAAAGTTGATCCACTGTAACTGGAACTGCTTCCAAATTCTTTCCATCAAACTTATACAGTCCTCCATTTAATGAAGGGATCAGCCTAACCCATTGTCCATTACTGTTTAGCTGTATAAAATTGTTTAAAAATTAATAAGTTGACTCATGTTTGCTTAAAATTGTAATAACCATCAATGAACATACATCTCTTCTGTGAATACTGGAGGATAATAGTTCTTCATTCCAATCCAAGGACCAACGTTTTTCTCCATTTTTCGCTGCATCCAGCGCAGTGAGCTTTCCATCCAAAGTACTGATAAATATTAAGCTGTGAAAAAAATAAAAGTTATTAATTTTAATTTCGATAAATTTGGATCGATTTTAATGCGATTTTAAGTTTTAATTTGACGAAAAGTCGACGCGATTAAAATTTGACATGAATAACGATTTATCAGTAACGAAGAAACGATAACCGCAGGATAATACCAATCGCTATACGCTTCTATGCTTTACTGCGTGACAGTATACCTATATACAATCGTCTGTTCAAATCTAACCAACTGACTCGAGACACGTAATGTTTTCGATTTGACCGTATATATACATCCATGTTACTAAACAATTAACCTCCTAACGCACCATTTTACTTGTTTACCAGTCCTTTTTGCGATTTTAATGAAAAAAAAAAAAAAACAGAGATATCAAAGTGATCGCCGTGAATTCGAAAATACCGTTACGCAAAAAGCTGACGCAGTCTCGCTGAAAGTTACATGTGCATCGGGAGAAGATCGAGCCCCCCGCGCATCGCGATAAGCCACGAAGTCGTTTCAGAGCCAATTGCTAATCAATTTTAATCAATTTGGATCGTTTACCTTCTTGGATTTTCTGGAGTCTCGGGGACGACAGACGGCTGATCTTTGCAATGGGGCAATTGTTGAACGTCGCCGTTCGTAAGATTGACAGCTAGTAGCAACAACAGCGGTAGCAACATGGTACACGTTCGATTGTGGCACCTCGCGCGCACCTATTCTCGATATATTCTTTTTACTATCAAAAAAAAAAAGTGTGAACGACGATAAAAGTTATCGCACTGGCATAATTATTCCATATTTCGTCGATGGCACTTCGTTCATCGAGCGAACTTCGGTGTTTATCGTGCACTGCTCTATATCGAAGTATCGGAGAGCGATGACACGACGACGACGACGAGCCCACGAGTTGTTTTTATCGCATATGTAAATTATTGCTCATTCGTATCATCGGCAAGCGAACTCTTACTCGCTGCTCGTACATGTATTTAGCACGGACACAGGTTCGGACAGGAGTTATATATCTTTTACATGTGACGGTGTAGCAACTCGCGCGAGAGTTTCACTCACTGTTGGTTGTTGTCATTCGAATGTTGACGCGCATCGAGTGCGTTCCTTATCGACGATAAATTTCTTTTCTTTATGAATTAAAAGTCGATAACAAAAAAAAATTTAAAAAAGAACAACAAAGAAGCTGGAAGAACGGAGCACGAAGAGCCGAGCACATACGATACGCAGCCGCTCGCGAACAGATACGCACGACGAATACTGCATGGCGGCGGTCGCACGCCGCCTCCAGCTCCGATCGCATGTATATGTGCGTATGTATGCGTGCGTGTGTATGAGAATACATGTCCATCCGTGTGTTATTGTGTCGTCGAATGATCTTTGGGTGTTTGTGTCTGTATTAGGGACTGTTGTTTGCAAAGTCGTCTGGGGGCAGACATGCGCGAATAACAAGTACGAGCGGCGAGTTCGTAGAGAAATTTGAAATAGCAGAAAATTGCGAATAGTTTAAAAACGAAAACGATTAGAACAATTGTAATTCGCGAACACTTTTTCATTATATTTTTGACGACAACATCATTTGATATCATCAATAGATAAGACGAATGATGATCAGAGTAATATTAAAGATCAACGTATGCACAATTATAAATGAAACATGTTTAACTTCAACGTGACATACTTACTATCAATAAAATTGATAAGAAAAAAAACGAATTATTTTAAAAAATTTTTAACATTTTTTTTAAGTGTATTATATATTAAATGCATCACCACAGAGTATTTATACATTCACGATAAATTAACATCATTGTGAAAATAATTTTATTACACTTACTCTGCACACACAGTATAATATTTATTTTTAATTAGCTTCTAACGTACATAAAGCGATTCATACATGCAGCATAACTCATTGTTGTTTAAATATTCTATGATGTATTCACAACAGACATAAGGTAAACCTTGAGTTAATTGTTTTAAAGGGTTTAATGAAACTTTTTTTGCAAATTCTCGAACTAAACTCTTGTTAATATGCCCCTTTAAAATACTCGAGATTCCTTTAAAAGTTTCTTCAAATTGTTCAGAATTTATGACTGACTGATAGTCACAATTTTTCAATAGTAAGTATGTTTCATCTGGACTAGAAGTAAAAATTTGTAGAAGAGTTGTTTTTTTGCCAACCATAACTTTTTTGGCTTTCTTAATATATTTTTTAATATCTTTTGTCTTTAAGATATCGTCATATAAATAATTCTTGGAATCTAAACTTTTCAAAATACTTAACAAATTTTCATATGTTTTTTCATCCTTATAAATCATTCCATACTCTGCCAAGTACATGTAATTAAAAATTGTATCCAATTCATATTTATGTGTTTGCTTACTTTTAATGTAGTTGCTAATATCAAGAGTAAATCCTGAAAAAAATTAATTTATGTTCATTAGCATACATTAGAAGAGCAATTATATTATACTTTGTATGATGTGTTATGGTAGTCACTGCCTTTAAGGTAGTGATACATTTTCAAAAATTGTTTGGCATATATTATTATTATAAATTAAGAAAAAAATTGTTTACAATCATCATCTTTTATAATTAAATCAAAATAAAAGAAAAAATTAACTGATAAAATACTAGGTTGTTGCTATGCATATACATATTAAGATGTACTACAATAAAGTTATCATACATTTTTAAAAATAAATTATTCAAAATTGAGTTTGAATTAAGTTTGTATCTATATTAAGATATGTGATTAAAATTTTTGATAAAGTTCTCACCTGTTTCCAGAGCTTTTCTTAATGCAGATGACTGTATAGGCACATAGTATCCTATTAAAAATTTGAATACTGATAAAAAATGATCATTTGTCATTTCAAAGCCCTTATTTTCTAAAATATCAATTATGGCAAGAATATTTTGAGTCATCATTAAGTCTGTTAAAATGGCATTTTGACTTTGAAAATAGCCACCTTGGAACTGAGCAGTAGATACTTGAGACCCATGATTTAAAAGAAATTTAACTAAATCTAAATTACAATATGAAACAGCTTCGTTAAGAAGAGAAAGTCCGTCCCTATCTTGAACATTAATGTCTAAACCACGTTGTATAATGAACTCCATACATTGATAAATTTCTGCAATACTGGATTTATACTCATTGAAAAAATTTGGTGCTTTTGTACTTTGAATGATCACATGTAATACAGTCTTGCCCTCATTGTTTAGGTGTGAAATATTGGCGTTGTTTTCCAAAAGTAATTTTAATACTTCATAGCACAATTGATATTCTGATCTTTTATAAAATAGGCTTATTATTGGAGTATTTCCTTTGTTATTTTGAATGTTCATGTCAACTTTATAGCGGAGGAGATATTGTATTACTTGCAAGTATTCATTTGTTATATGATGATTTACACAGACTTCGTTTAATGGTGTATTACCATAATCATCAACAATATTGGGATCCGCTCCATGAAGTAATAAAAATTCTATCTCTTCTAGACGTGCTCGTTTAACAGCTATATGCAATGGAGTTCGACCCCAATTATCTTTCAAGTTTACATCCATTCCATATTTTAGCAACAACTTGATTATTTCTATACTGTCTTTACTATTCATCCCAAGAATAGTAGTTGGAATTGTTCCATGATATTCACAAGTAGCTGAAACATCAGCATTGTTTTCTAGAAGTAATTTCAACACTATTTTGCGCAATAATGTATCGGCATCGTTACGAAAACTTTTGCATCTAAATAGAGCCACAATCGGAATTTTTAAATTCACATCTGCTTTGTACTGGATAAGGAGCTGAATCTTTTCATAATCGGAAAACGTTAAGGGATATTTACTAAAGATGCGTGTTAAAAATGTTCCAGGATCATCACGATTGTTGTAACGGTTCGGATCGGCGCCATTTTTTAATAAAAATTCGGCTACTTCTATTGTTGGAAAATAAAAGGCGAGAGTGAGAGGATAATATCCTGTGCTATGTGGAATGTTTACGTCTACGCCGTGTGTCATCAGTAATTTCAACAATTTAACAGTATTCGTACTCTTCGTTTGATAAAGAATTATATCCAACAGTCTGTCGCCCCAGCTATCAGTTTGCATAGCATCGGCGTTATTTTCTAAAAGTAACTTTAACGCTTCGTAACGCAGTTTGGCGCTTCTTTTATCCCTGAAAAGTTGTATAACTGGACTGTTTCTTTCGAAATTTTTGTTGATGTTGACGTCAGCTTTATAATTGATGAGTTGTTGCATCATTGTCAAGTGAATATCAGTCAATTGAAGCTGATTGCAGATGAGATTTAGTGGTGCCATGCCTTCTTCATCGATTTCGTTTGGATCAGCACCACTTTGTAACAAAGCTTTCAATGATTCTAAATTTCCCGATTCAACTGCATCGTTTAATGGTCTTGCTACAGGAATATATTTTTTTCCCGACATTTCACTCGATATACTTCACTAAGGCAATAGTTTTTGTTAGCAGTTCCGCGACGAGTTCTTAACTTACTTTTGAGTTTTGAAACAGTTGACTCGAGCGGCGAGCCAAAATGAGATATTGCGACATCTATACGGCTGGAATAGGTATCAATTTTTTCGTATCTGTTCGCAGGACGTTATTTAGATAATTATCACACTCGCTTATTTGTATTAATATATCAATTATTGCAGTATAGGTTTATGATGGAACCAGCTTCTGTCCGAAAATTGGCATATTTCATTTTATGCTGCTTCCCAAAAAATTTTTGATAACAGGTTGATGAATTAAAATGTAACTTATATCGTTTATTCGACAATGAGAATTAAATCAAATTTAAAAATTTTAAATGGGCTAATTTACTTTTTGGAGTGAACACTGAACACGTCTTCCAAGCTGTTACCTACTATGTAAAGAAATAACATTTGAACTACAGAGAAATATGGAGGAGCCAATTTGTAGTATCAGGAAATTTATATCTCTTCCGCTTCTTTCGTTAATTCTTTTCATCGATCATAATTCAAAGGTCTATACACGGGGCATCAACCTGACTGCGCGAAGTAAATTATACAATACTGTCGAGCCTCTCCGCATGCTGAGGAGTCTTCCGATCCACCTCCACCTGACGCGGACCGCATGACTGGATACAGATATACACCGCCGCAGCAACGGCATGCGAGGTCCCGAACGATCTGACCTCTTTGTAATCGACGCACAGCACGATCCATGGTGTACAATATATGTAATCGATGCCGCTTGTATATATACCTATATCCTATATGTGACACGTTCGATTTGTGTCAAAGCTCGATCGTCCACGCCTAAACGTCTCCCATACCGAAGATTTTACCTTTTTTAACGCTCATGTGTTAATTCGCGTTCGTATAAGTATATAGGAAACGTATCGAACGAACGCAAATACTTGCACACATTCCACAGAAGCTACAGTGTGTATCTGTCTGTATACATACTCATTTTCAAGTGCATGGTACAGGATCTTATACATATACGTGCCTCTTTTACAGTTGTTTTGTTGTGTAGCAGATATCTATACACTGTGTGTAAACTCAATTCGTGTTTTGGCAATAAAGGGGGGTTCGCGCATTCTGCAACGTTTATATTTGTGCAGACGATCGCGCGTATAATTGTTTACGCGTGTCACAGATCTCCAAGTAAAACGAAACGGAACTCGTGCAAAAATAATACAATCGTTCTCGAAAAATTGTCACAACGTGCGGTGTAGCTATGTCGAGCCGCTGATAACGGTTCACGCTTGTATCTGCGTGCGTACACCACACATGTAACTATTTTGGTTTCAGTGTTATTGAACTTTCGACTGCTTCGAGTTCAGTGTCGATTTTTAAGTTCTGTGCTAGCTGGTGATCCGATACCTGTGCCAATGTGATAAAACAGTCTGGAGCAGAGCATGAAAATGTCAAAATTTTACTCTGAAAGCATAGGTCACTCATGTTGATAACTTGTAAATGTCAATGCAACAGGTGTCAGTGTAAATTTCTATCAACATGGCCAACTTTCGAGGAGGACAAGATTCCTCCGAACCTTATCAAGAACTGGATGAAATAAGAGGTGCAGAGTTAAATAGTGCAAATCACAGCTCGATAGAGAGAAACAGTTTATCGAGCAATTTTGCTGTAGATAGATCATTGGAGCTGACTTCAGTTTCAGTAGTTCCAGATGGTGAGTATTTTTCTTTTTCTTTAATGTACATAAATTTCATGTTGAACCTTTTCTTAAACAATTTTTAATGTGTCTAAATACTTGGGCGCACTGTTATGCTTGATTGTACTAACTTTTTTACTATCTGTTAAATTTAACTCATGTACAATAAAAAAGAATATAACATGGTAATAAAATTATGTATAAAAAACCCAGCTAATTTAAATACTTAAATTGATTTATATTTCAATTTATTAAAGGGTATGGCTAACAAATGGTGATTTTGATTTGGAATAAGTTCTTTTATTACCCATAAAGAAGTTCAAGAATAATAAACTCTGTGTTCAAAAGCACTTAAAAATGAAATATCTTCTTCAACTTTGTCAAGCTATCGGCTATACTATTGTTACCAGATTCTTTTCATGGTGAGCTGTTTAAAAATCTTTACTTGTAAATATGTTATTAATATTCAATGAGTATTTCTAATCAATAGTTTTAATTGAATGTTTATTTGAATTAGTTTTAATTTGGTGATAGTTATCCACTTTAATAGTATTAATAAACCTTGAAACATTTTATAATTCAATTAAATTTATTTTAATTTTTCACAGACACATTTACAGTTAGCCAAGCTATTAATATGTTAGGTTTTGGAAAATTTCAAGTTAAATTATCATTATTTACTGGTCTATGTTGGATGGCTGACAGTATGGAAATGACAATTCTCAGTATTCTTAGTCCAACGTTACATTGCGATTGGGGAATATCTAGGTATCAACAAGCACTTACAACTACAGTATGTATTGTACAGAAATAAATTCATTTTTTGGAAAGAAAGTATAAACAATCTATTGATGTTATTTTTTCAGGTAGTATTTTTGGGAATGATGTTAAGTTCTTCATTTTGGAATAATTTAAGTGATCGCTATGGTAGGAAGCAATCATTAACATTGTGCGGTGCATTGCTGTTCTATTATGGCTTTCTAAGTTCATTTGCACCCAACTTTTTATGGATTCTTTTACTTCGTGGTCTGGTAGGCTTTGCCATTGGTTGTGTACCACAATCGTAAGTACTTCACTCTCGATCATTTTTGAAACTATATTATTCAATAATTATTCAATGTTATTCAATAATTTTTTCAGAGTTACCCTATACGCTGAGTTTTTACCTGCAGAACAAAGAGCGAAATGCGTAATTTTATTAGATGTAATGTATAGTTTTTATTGCTGAAAATCAATTTAGACAACATCAAATAAATTTTCAACTTGCGTGTCTTTCAACTTTCAGTGCTTTTGGGCTCTCGGAGCCTGCTTCGAGGTCGCGCTCGCTCTAGTTGTGATGCCAAATCTGGGCTGGAGGTGGCTTCTGGCTCTTTCAACGATACCGCTATTTTTGTTCTCCGTAATAACGCCCGTGAGTTAAATGCACACTTTGAACTACAAACGAATCCATAATGTAGCAATAAATCTCACGTACGTCGGTTCGCAAAACTTTTCAGTGGCTGCCGGAGTCGACGTCGCACGACATGATGATGGGCCGAACCGACAAAGCGCTGAACACGCTCGAGCGAATCGCCCGGGAGAACGGCAAACCGATGCCGCTCGGGCGTCTGGTGATCGATCGGGTCTACCCGACCAATCGAGGCAGACTCGTCGATTTGCTCAACAAGGACATGTACAAAACTTCGGTTCTGCTCTGGCTCGTATGGTAAATGCACGATGGTCGAATCGTCGTCGGCTTTTCATTTTCTCATTCTCATCGAACGAATTTTACCTTGTTCGATTCAGGATGGCGAGCGCCTTCTGCTACTACGGCGTCGTGCTCATGACCACGGAACTGTTCGACACGACGGCCGAGCAATGCGACGAGACGGCCGAGGAGCGCATACAGTCGCGCGCCTGCCTCATCAATTGCCAGCTGAGCCGGGGCGATTACATGGACCTGCTCTGGACGACGCTGGCCGAGTTCCCGGGCATCTTCTCGACCATCTACGTGATCGAGAAAGTCGGCAGGAAGCGCACGATGGCCTTCCAGCTGGTGATGTTCGCCGCGGTCGTGTGCTTCCTCGGACGGGCCTGTCGGCTGTCGCGCCTCGTGCTCACCGTCAGTCTGTTCCTCGCCCGGGCCCTGATCGCGGGCGTCTTTCAGGCCGCCTACGTGTACACGCCCGAGCTGTATCCGGGCTATCTGCGGGCGACCGGGGTGAGCGCCTGCTCGGCCATGGCCCGGCTCGGGGCCATGCTGACCCCCTACGTGGCCCAGATACTCCTGAGATGGTCCGTGTCCACGGCCATGGTGACGTACGCCGTGGCCGCACTGTGCGCCGCCTTCGCCATCATAGCCTTGCCGGCCGAGATAAGGAAGACGTGAGAGCCCCGAGAGACTGACTTCGTCCCTATTATTAATGTTTTTGTGCAATAGATTACTTTTTCAAAAATTTTTCAGTCAAAATCGTTTCGTTATATCTTGCATTGAAAGATATTTTATTTCGAGAAGCCTCGTTCGTTAACAACATTTTGAAAAACGAGAAATGAGTATTTTTGTGTAAAGTTAAAGTTTATAAATAATAACGCGTTAAGCTCTTTTTTAGTTTTTAATAATATATAGTTATTCTCTAGGAACAGAATTTATAGTTTCACTAGGTATTGTTAAATTTTTGTACATAAAATCAATTGAACGATGCGTCCACGCACTCGATTCGAATTTTTTTTTTCTCCACCTTTGTACTTGAATTCGCACGAATTCAGCGATTAATAAATAGGTTCATAAAAAAATAAATCTGTGATACGTAACATCCATCTCGCAGCCTCAGATGATCAATTTGTAGGTACACCTGCGCGGCGAGAGGCAAGTGCCGTCGCGCGTCGTTGAGCCGCAGCAGGACCAGTGACGCTCGCCCGGATGGCCCGAGTGGCCGTGACCGCAGCCTCTGTAACCACCTGGAACATTGGACAGGCAGAGTGACTTCAAGTATATGTAGTTAAAAAAAAAATGAGATCTTGGCCGCCTTTTACCTGGCATCGTTCCGCCGCAGGCGCAAGCGACGTCCTTCTTGCCTCCGCTCGAGCAGAAGGTGCAGCAGTGAAAGATCCCGCTGTGCATCGTCGTTGTGTTGGTTGTCGCGCTCTTGACTCGATCGCTGCGTCCATCTGCAAGTCGGGGCCAAGAATGAGCAGTCGGAAAACTGACGAAACCAAGAGGTATCGAGATATTTAATTATCTACGTGACGCCTACCGGGAGCATCGCTGTCGTCGACGTCGAGCCCGAGGAATCTCAGCCTCTTGAGTATAATCCGCTTGAGGCTGAGTATCTCGACGACCGATCCGTTGGCCAGCAGATCTTCGGCGATGAATATCGCCTCCATCAGATACTTGGCCCTCTTGAGCCTCGAGTACTCCAGTATCCTCTGTCGGGCCTCGCGCGACTGCGTCGACGCGCTCGATCGACTCCTCTGCTCCGGAGGACTCTTCGTCGTCGTCGTCGTTCGCTGCTGCCATCCGTCCTTCAGAACGAAGTCGAGAGCCGCCTGGCCGGCTGAGCCGTGCTCGCGTTGGCGCTCGGTCTCGCGCAGCAGCAGCAGCTCCAGGAGGCGGCGAGCCTCGCCGAGGGCCGCCTCGAGGCGCAGCCTCGCACGCGCCCCGGCCCGCGAGGCGTCCTCGGCCGCGTGGCCCCGGTGCGCCGGCGTCCACATGCACTCCTTGCAGGTGGCCCGCTTGCAGGCCAGACAGTGATACCTGAGCGAGTGCGCCGGGTGCTCGAGGCAGACGGCCAGCCGCCTGATGCGCTTGGCCTGCCAGAGCGGCCGGACCGCGCCCTCCTGGTGCTCGTGCTGGGCGCCGCACTCGTCGCAGAAGTTGCACAGGCAGCGCGAGCAGTGCTGGGTCGCCTGGCGCTCTTGGGGACAGGCGTCGCAGCAGATGGCCCGCTGCGACAGTCGGCGGCGCACCGCGTAGATCACCAGCCGGTGCTGGAGCGAGTAGTGCGGCGGCGGCGGCGACTGGCCCGAGCCGTGACGAGGTAGGGGATGCTCGCAGCGGGGACAGCCCTCGGGCCGTCGTCGTCGCTGGCCCGATTTCAGGCTCCTCGACGAGCCGCTCGCCCGCAGCCGCAGCCGACTGTATAAGTGGTGCTCCCCGTCGTCGTCGTCGTCGTCGTCACCTGTCACAATCAAGCGCACGAGTCATCATCGGTACATAATTTACAAAAAAAAGAAAGAAATAAGGGGGTCAAGCTCGAGCGGCTATACCGTAATAATGCTTGCTCATGAACTCGTTGACGCAGGCGCTGCAGACCGAGTGCAGGCAGGGCAGCAACCTCGGCTCCTCCATTTTGCCGCCGCACCTCGGGCACCAGAAGTCCTGCTCGCGCAGCTGATCGTGGACGGAGCTCGGCCTCGGCTTGACTCTCCGTCTGACCTGCGTTGCTGCCGCCGCTATCGAGCCCCGATCCACCGTCGCGTACTCGTTGTCGTCGCGACGGTCTTGGCTGCCGTTGGCGTCGACGCGCGTCTTCTTCGAGTTTCGTCGGCACTTCCAGCTGCCGAATATAAAGCCGTCCTTACTGTTGTTGCTGTTGTTGTTGCATACGTCGCTGACGCTGCGATTGAGCTTCTTCTTGATCGACGACAGGGCGGCGGAAGCAGATCGATCGTCATCGTCGTTGCCTCGAGCCTTCGCGTCCATCGGTATTTTACGCCAATTATAGCGATTGTATTGCGCGATTAAATAGGGTCTGTGGAAATGAGAACAGCTCGAGAATCAACGCGAGAGTCGATCGTCCGACGAGTCCCACCGATGTCGCTCGTGATCAGAGCCCTGGTGGCGATGGCGATACTCGTCGCTCGCACCCTCGACTCGCCTCGTAGCGCTGACGATCACGGCGATTTCTCTCATCTTCCTCGCTGTTTCGCGCGTGACCACGCAATTCAACCTACTCGTATCGGATGGAGTTCGTGCAGCTGCGCTCGATCTCTGCGAGAGAAGAAAAATATTTACTTATGGCGAGTTACGACTACTATATTACGCATACACACGTATACACGCGTGACGCGTGCGTTTCTATACATATGGGCTATATAGAGTTGTAATTTGATTTTTCATATTTTATTCTGCTTTCCAAGAGTGAATAAGAAATGATTGAAACATGATTTTTTATTTAAAATTTGATGTCAAAAATCATATTCATAAACTCCAAGTACCTTAATTTCAAAATTTCAGCCCCAGTGGCAAAAATAAACATGTTCGTATCCAGCAATATGGCCAATATTGTAATATTTTCTTCTTTAAATCCAAATACAACTTCTGATAAATTTTGGTCATCGGCAGACAAACAGACTTCATTACTAACCTTCATATGTGTCAAGAATAGAAGAAATCTAGTGAAAAATCATGTTTTATTGGAACATATGAAGGACAATAATGAAGTCTGTTTGTCTGCCAACTACCAAAATTTATCAATAGTTGTATTTTGTTGTATCGATGAACATATTATTTTTGCTACTGAGGCTGAAATTTAGAAATTAAGGTACTTAGAGTTTATGAATATGATTTTTGACATCAAATTTGAATTCCTCATCAAATGTTACATAAAAAATCATGTTTCAATTTCTTTTTCATATTCACCTTTGGGAAGCAGAATTAAATATGAAAAATCAAAACAAAAAGAGGGGGGGACAGTTGACGCGATATAGCCCATATACATGCACGCACGATGTTATCTTTAGAATCTATATCCAAGCGAAATAACTCGGACACGCGCCCGTATTCGTGCGCGTTATACATATAGGTATACGAGTGCAGTGCCGAGTGCAGCGTTGTATACGTGTGCTGCTGCGAGAAAGATTTGCGCTTGAAATAAAGCTTTCGCAGGCGCGTTCTCTCGAGTCGCGACGACATATGTACGTGGGGAAAAAAATTACTAATAATAACGATAAATGGTTCGCGGGCTTGCGCGCGAACCCGAGCGAGCGAGCGATCGGCGATGATCGTTGAATTACATGCAACTGTTCCCATTTGTGGATTGATATTCGCAAGGCGTCGAATCATCACTTACGGCGAAATTCCTCGAGTCTCACGAGTGTGCTGTATACACAGATATATAAATATGTAGCTTTTGTACGCGCGCACACACACGCCTACACACTCGGAATATTTTTTCTCACTTTAATTGCGAAATCAATTGGAAAGGATTATAGTCGTCGTCGTCGTCGTCGATATCGTCGACAAATTCGAGGTATATCGCACATACGAGCCCGTCGCGAGCTTTAACCGCGCGCAAGCACGAAGCCCGACTGACCCTTCGCGCGATGATTTTTCTCTCTGCTGCACGAGCGACGGTATATATACGCATGAGCTGGTGTCCGTGCGTGCAGCTCGCGCGAATTGACACTCGCACGAGAGCCAGATTTAGCAGAAGACGCGATTCGCAGGTTGGACGCTGGAAGAAGCAGTCGGTAAAAACTTAGCTCTCTCATCCGTAAGTAAATTCCCACCGATTTCTACATTTTCGTTCGTTGATGCAGGCATAAACTGCCACACAACTAAATACATTCCTAAACATACATGCTTAATAACTTCGACCCCCCAAATATTTCTAATTAAATACATATAATTCCACTCTAATAACATTAACCTCAAAAGTACTTGTAACAAAGGAAAAAAAAAAAGGGNGCTCCAATCAACAACGCCACCCTATCAAAAACTCCAAATCCTCCTCCTCACCATGGTGGAACGAGGAGTGTACGTCTCTTGCTGCTGAAAGAAGAAGTCTTGCTAAAAAATTCCTCAATGATCCGACACCTGAAAACTTAAAACTCCTAAAAATAAATGAAAAATCAACCAAAAAGAAATTTGCTGAAATCAAAAAAACATCATTTCAGAATTATATAGAATCCAAACTATCTAAGGATACTGACATGTCAGAAATTTGGAAAACTATTAACAAATTCAAAGGAAAACATATTAACAACCATAATATCAACGACTTGGAAACACAAGCAAATGCAAGGAAATTCATACAAGAATACTGTGCGCACACACCCCTGGAACCTCCAAACTTCCAAGAAAACTCTTCTGGAGTGAACAATGACACAGAATACATAGATGCACAAATTTCACTTGAAGAATTCACTGCAGCTATTGAATCCTCAGCAAAAAACTCCTCTCCAGGCATAGATCAAATCACCTACTCTATGCTGAAACAGGCTCCTCCTAATCTTATAAAATTACTGTTAAAATCTATAAACAATCATCTTGATAAGTATCAAATACCAAAAGATTGGAAATCCTCACTAGTAATACTGATACCCAAAAACTCAAATAAAAAATTTAGACCTATCACTTTAGCATCATGTATCCTTAAAACTACAGAAAAGGTTCTAAACGCCAGACTGCTCCACTATGTAGAAAAACATAACATTCTACCAGAATCGCAGTATGGATTCAGGAAAAATAGGTCGTGCTCACTAGCACTGGCAAAGCTAGTTACCCACATATACTCAGCTTTCAACAAAGACTCCCATCTAATATGCGTTTCACTAGATATAAAATCTGCATTTGACAACATAGTACCTACTTACCTTTTAAAAATTCTCAATGAAATTGGTATCCCCCTAAAACTCAAAAAATTTATCAATAACATAACAGAAAATAGGAAACTATTCTTCAAACTTGCAAACGGTATTGAAGGCCCTTACACTAAAAACATAGGCACACCTCAAGGTAACGTCCTAAGCCCTACGTTATACAACCTATACATCCTTGAGCTATCCAAATCAATAAAACCTCCCATTCAGCTACTTCAGTATGCTGATGACACTCTTGTGTTATTAGAAACAGAGGACATTACAGAAGGAATAAACTTAATAGAAAAAGCCCTTAAAAAAATCAACACCTACTTTCAAAACATTCACCTTACCTTGTCAGCGGAGAAAACCCAATTTATAATCTTCTCTAAAACTAATACTAATATCAACTTACAACCAACAATTAACTTTAACAACAGCATAATCAAACCCTCCAAAACTATTAAATATCTTGGCCTCTATCTAGACAATCAGCTAGACTGGACAGCACACTATAATTGCATAATAAAAAAAGCTACAAAGCAGCTGAACATACTGAGAGTCCTCAGAGCAACTTGGTGGGGAGGACACCCTCAAATTCTAATGATTGTCTATAAAGCCCTCATCAGAAGCACCATGGAATACAATATGTTCCTAACATTCACAAGCAAGAAACTAACAGAAAAAATACAGAAAATTCAAAATCAGGGCATCAGGCTGGCAGCTGGGTACAGAGTATCCACTGCCCTGAATGTAATTCATGGAGAGACCCACACTCCTTACATTCAAACAAGAATAAGTCACCTAGCCAATAATTTTATTCTAAAATCATTATCATCCGAGAACCATACTATAATCTCAGACATTAAAGATCTAATTAAAATGCTCAATGAGAAAGACGTACACAAAATCAAACTACAACTCCCAATACTAAAAGCATACATTAAAGTCACAAACATCTGTGAAAACCGTATGCACGCAAACGCACACCCTATTCCTTATGATTATGACTACTCCCAACTCATACACAAACTAGACATAGATCTTAATTCTGGCAGACTTCTCCAGAAGTCCACAGATCCTCAAAAAACCTTTCAGGATATATTTAAAAATGAACTTCAACACACAACACAAGTATACACAGACGGGTCAAAAATGGATGAAGGAGAAGCAACCGGCATAGCCATTTACTTCCCAAATTCCTCCACCAAATACCAATACCAGCTAGATAAAATAACATCAATTTTCACAGCTGAAGCTACTGCCATATTCATAGCCATAGACATTGCTTATAAACAAAAACTACAGAATCTTACAATTTTCACAGACTCCAAAAGCTCCCTTGAAGCAATCAAAAATTACTCCCCAATAAAAAAATCAAACACATCCCCAATTATTCTTGATATATTACAATATACCTTTAAGCTCATAAACAGCAATCAAAAAATTAAACTAATATGGATTCCCTCACACCACAACATCACCCATAATGAAACAGTCGATAATTTAGCTAAGGAAGCAATAGAGAAAGGATCTATCCTGAGTACAAAACTCCACTACTCAGAGTTCCAAAACCTACTTGCACAGAAAACCAAAGAAATACATAATTATCAAATTAAAGAAGAAGCTAAATACAAAGGCACCAAGTACTTTGACCACTTCTTTAAAGAGAATGCAGCCAAACCATGGTTTGCAAATCACAACTCCCTACGATACCACATAGTTACAATAAACAGACTAAGAGCTAATCATTACTCATTAGCTGAAAGTCTGTTTAGAAAAAACATGGTCGAGTCTCCAGAGTGTAGCTGTGGAGCTCCCTCTGAAGACATCGATCATGTAATTTTCGAATGTAACAAATACTCTAACGAGAGAAAGACACTAAATGCAAAAATAAAACTTCACTGCCAAAACACTCAAACCATACCACCCACTACAGTACAAGATATTCTTAAACATCCAACAAGTCCAATCACAAAATTCATGACAGAATTCCTTAAAAAATGTAAACTAAATTTATAAACTACTGTTCAAAAATAAAACAATTAATATATAAATAAGTAAAAATAAAAAAAATATATATATATATATATCTAAACGTTGCATTTAATAGAATCATTTACTGCCTGCATCAACAAACACGCGCATTAAAAGTTAGTCTGCTATCTTGGTAAATTAAAAACCTGCTACTTCCAACGATTCATCGCAGCGACATCTAAGTCCAAAAATAGTAATAAACTGACGAAAATACACATATGAAATGTGGCAGACCGGAGATTACAGTACACAAGTGATCCCAAGGCCAGAATAAAAAGAAGAAGAAGAAGAAGCAGAAGACGCGCGCGCGAAACTCGAGGCGAGAGAAGCAGCTTTCGCCTTTCTGGTGCTGAGGCACTATATATATACAGTATATGTCATGCATTGGGAGCAGAAGACGAGATCGGCAGGAGAGCGCTTATTCGGTTTCGACCGACCACGTTCACGAGCTTTTTTATCGTGCGAACGAGCGAGCTTTCGCAATTTCGCGCGGAGCCGCGTCTAAATAGCGTCGTGCGCTTATTCAGCCGAGCAGATGATCCATTGGCCAAACGATTTCAGAAGTTCTGTCCGCGAGGTGAATATGAATCTGGAATCGCGCGTAGGTGGTAACGCGTCAATTGGAATGATTCGACGACTTTGTTCGGCGAATTCAATGATTTACGAGCCGGACTCGATTCGCACGAGCCGAATTTGACGTAACTGCAGCTGCGGTGCTTACAGTTTTATTGATTTGGTTTTTTTTTTCTTCGTTACCATGTAGAATTGTACTTTTCTTGCGTAGGTACCGCTGGTGCTATGTATGGACAAACCGTTCAATCACGTTCATGTTTAATTTTTCCGTAAGTGAATTTCTGATTGGTGAATATTACAACAGATAGTAAATAGTTTTACTGCTATCCTGAAAAAATATGGAATATAGTATGAAACTGTTTTTTTTTTAATTCGAGAAAGTAATTTTCCATCTTACTTTGATGAAAATGTGATTATAATTGTAAAAAGTTCTGACTCTCTGGATTATATAAATGACAATGTGATTTCGAATTGATTACGAATGAATTCTTTTGATAAAAATTAATTTTATTAACTATAATACAGTTATAGATGTCTTGTTTAACGGTTGGATTTGGCAACACGTTCCAATTCATCCTTCTTTTTGATGGCATAAGAATTAGAACTTCCCTTAGCAGCATTGATCAGCTCGTCGGCTAAGCATTCAGCGATTGTTTTGATGTTTCTGAATGCAGCTTCACGGGCACCGGTGCACAACAGCCAAATAGCTTGGTTGACTCTTCTAAGAGGGGAGACATCCACAGCCTGACGACGGACAGTACCGGCTCTACCAATTCTGGTGGAGTCTTCTCTGGGTCCAGAGTTGATGATAGCAGAAACCAATATCTGAAGAGGAGCCTCTCCAGTCAGGAGGTAGATGATTTCGAATGCGTGCTTGACGATTCTGCAAGCCATCAATTTCTTTCCATTGTTGCGTCCGTGCATCATCAGAGAGTTGGTCAAACGTTCAACAATGTTGCACAGTGCCTTACGGAATCTCTTCTGTGCATAACGTCCAGCAGAGTGGGGTAGAAACCTGGCATTCTTCTCTTTGACAGAGATGTAATCCTGGAGTGACATATCGTTGACCTGAACATCCTCAGAGGACCATTTGCCAAAAAGTTTGATTTCTGGCATTGCATCAGCATGATGCACTGCTGGTGCAGATGCAACTGCATTGGAGGCTGCATCAACCTCGGCGTCCCAGTTTTCACTCATGTTTGAATTTTAACTGTAAAAAAAATATGAGATGAAGAGAATTTATTTTGAATGATTATTTAGAGGATATTAATGCAACGAGCAGAGCCATTCTGTTCGAAAATAAGCAGACACTTCATTTCACTAGATTCACAAAAAAGTAAACACAAGGTAAAGTATTAGCAATAACTGAAAATAAATTGTTATGCAAAGCCTGTTCATGCCGGGTCAGCTCATTACGTTGGATCACTAACATTGACGAAACACGAGTAAACAATCATAAACCATCTTATCGTCTGCAAAGTTTCAACAAAACAACACCTCTCGTGCTAAACAATTTTTCGTTTTCAACGAACAGGTTTTTTATTTAAAAAAAAAGAAGTAACATAAACCTACCACGTGAACGGCACGGAGACGAAAGAGAGAAATTCTTACGGCATAGGTTATGAACTCATACACGATAAAATTATCCTGGTGTACCGACAGCGCCAGCGAATCTTCGAATCGCGCACCGCGCACGAGTGACGAGACATAGACTAATCGCCTCGTGACACTGTGGCGCTTCATTCGAATTTCGTACTTACTCGCGAGTAGACGAGTTGCAATTATACATTTTTTCAGGTGTTTTTTCTTCAACCGATGAAGCTTCAGGGGTAAATTTGAATAAATAGATTAAAAGTAGCTTTATAAACATTTCCTTTTAAGCCCAAATGAGAATGATGTTTTACGCACCATGCAGAAAGATGCACGAAATTGTTGAGTTTATAATTTTTAAAAGACTATCAACGATTAGTATAAATTTTGCTAATTTAACAGAAAAATAGATATGAGTTACAAAACATAAACCATAAATATTTTACACAGCCAATCCAATAGGTGAAAAAGTATTTGAAATTTGTGATAAAATTTTACAGATGCACATTTATTAATGAATCAATCAGAACTAATAACAATAATAATGAAATTAGAAAAAATGTTGAAGATTCTTTGAAAATCAAAGACCAATAGTGCTTATAATGAAGCAAATAAAAATTCTTAAAGAGTAAAAAAGTGACATAACAAATTTAGAAATATTACTAAAAAATGAATAAATATTAGACATTCATGAGGCAGATTCAACTTACTTAGAGTGAAACGTATAAATAATATATAGACAAAAATTACAAAGTTGGAGTTGTCCTTCCCAACCGTTTGAGTACAATCTTAGATAGAGGGATTAATGGAGACATGTTAATAAAGCCTGGTCGATACATGCTGTGTTATGGTGATGACTTGTGGATCAATATGGAAAATGATTTCTCATAGACACATAAATTTCAATTTTTAGTTCTTTTATTGAAATGAATTATGTCTTAGACGTAACAATATAATTTACAAAAAATTACAAATCGTTTGGGCATTAAATTAGGTTGACTGATAAATAGTTTAATCCCTTCTGACATGACTGTCTATAAGTTGTTAGCATCACAGATAAGCAAATACGCAAACATATGGTACAGAGATTCGTTTAGTTGCTCGTCAAGATAAAAAAATAATTCTCTCTTATTGAAATATTGGGAGCATAATAAATAAATTTTATTATAAGTATTCTATAAAACTTAAGTAGGAATGTCTCCCAAAAATCTTTTATCTTTATCTTTAGTATGTTTGTAAAATTGCACTAATTCCTCGTAATCCATATGTTCTGCAACTAGGCGACAGGCAGTATAAGGTAGATTCAATTTACAGTAATCAGTCATGAAAAGATCAGCTGCAAATAGTTCTAACTGTAGCCTGACATAAATGTTTGCTATGTGTCTTTTTATAATGATGTTGATCCAAGTATGAGATAAATCAACCAATGGTGGGACACGCCAATTCTTAATATTTTTTAATATCTCGACACTCTCATCTAAGTCTTTATCGCTACAAAACTCATAGAGTGAGATGTCGTCGCTTAGCATAATATCTTTGAGTTTCTCAGCTTCGCTGTTCCAAACAAGTTGGATATCTCTAGAAATCATGTTGATGAGTCGACCACCGATAGTATAGTATTGTTTTCTTATTTTCTTCACTTGTTCTTCAAAAAAATCATCAATTTCTTGACTTGGAACAAGGATAAGCTTCAGATGAATAAAATAGTTATACACAATCGGGTAGAGAGCAGTCAAATCTTCTGTAGGCCCTAAACGTATTGGCAAAGAAAAATTAATCATCAGAGAATAAAAGTTATATTGTTTGGGTAATATGAAGTTACTTACTAGTATATTCGGGTATCAGATGGTAAGTGTCGTCGCCTCGAACTGCCTCGAAACATTTAATCATCTTGAATCTGGTGTGTAAGCTCATTCGATAATCAGCCGACTGCAACAATTGTACCATCTCAATGATGTTAAGTGTCAGTGGATAGTTTTTCAATTCGATCAATGTGAATTCTGCGCTGAACATTTTATCCTCGTTCAAATTGTCAAGACTCGCGCCGTAAGCCAGAAGCGACTTGACAAGCTGCACATCAAAACGAGATACGGCCAAATCCAAAGGACTATTACCATCACGATTGCGAGTTTCCAAAATCGCCCCATGATCAACGAGCATTTGAACTATTGTATCTACTGGTCGTCGATAATCGCAAAATCTGGAAGCGTTGGTGCATTCGCAAAGACACAGCTTTGCGAGGGCGTGAAGAGGTGTCGACTTCTCCACGTCCTGTTTGTTTGGATCGGCCCCGTGTTTCAATAAAATCTCTACTATTTTTTCGCGTCTGTACTGGACTGCAATATGCAACGCTGAATACTTGTATGAGTCGAGATTGACGTCCACGCCTTGTCTCAGGAGTAGATTCACTGCTGTCACGTTGCCGGACATGCAGGCCGCGTGTAAATATGTGTAACCATAATCGTCACTCAAGTTTTCCCGTGGATTCTTCAAAAAATATTCCATGACCTCCAGGACTTTTCCTCTTGGGTCAGAGGTTGAATTATTTATCCCGTATACTACCTCAGCCAAATAATGAAGAGCAGACATTCCATCTATGAATCTAACATCGTGTATTTTAAGCTCGTTTGCCTCGATCAGTTTTATCATTTTCAAATCACGTTGTTCCAAAGCAAATTGTAAAAAATATTCTTTATTTTTAACACTAGGAAATAAACTTGTACAGTTCATCAAATCTGTCACAACTCTTGTCAATAATTCTTCCTCGTTTTCTTCACATTTGGACCAAAGTTCAAGTACTTCGCAAAACTTGTTGAGTCGCGCGTCACCTATTACTTCTTCCAAATCGTTTTTTATGTCTCGAAAGCGATGTAAGTATTCATCGTCATCATCAAATAATGACATTTTGAATGAACTGTTAATAAAACTAACTACCTTGATGAGGAATGACGAGTATCGCCCGATACACTGTACAATTAATTCTAGCAACGACCACGTGTTCGAAGACAGTAACGCACATAAAAGTCTTCACAAGCATGCACTACCACTTAAAATACATAGCGACGGCGGCATGCGTCTGTAATCAGCTTCTGCGCAGAAGAGCGATGCTATACTTGCGCTACTGCTGAGTGCTGACTGCACGACTAGACCGTTCACCGTAGACGTCCGAATTCCAAAAAGAATTCAAGCAGCTCTCAAAACTGACGCCCAAAGGAATCGCGCGATTCAAAATTTTAAAAATAAATATCTGAAAATTCTAATGAAAATGTTTAAAAAATATTAATTAAAATGTAAAGTTGGTTATGTAGAGTAAACAAATTTGAATTGGACCGCGAATGAGAGAACTGCGAATAAAGAATTTATTCCGGGAATACGGAGATCCTACTGTATTTCATCAAATTGTTTTGTGTAAAGTTGAACTTTATAATAAGCCCTTTTTTAGTTTTTAATAATATATAGTTATTCTCTAGGAACAGAATTTATAGTTTCACTAAGTTATTGTTAAATTTTTGTACGTAAAATCAATTGAACGATGCCGAGCCCGAGGAATTTCAGCCTCTTGAGTATATAATCCGCTTGAGGCTGAGTATCTCGACGACCGATCCGTTGGCCAGCAGATCGTCGGCGATGAATATCGCCTCCATCAGATACTTGGCCCTCTTGAGCCTCGAGTACTCCAGTATCCTCTGTCGGGCCTCGCGCGACTGCGTCGACGCGCTCGATCGACTCCTCTGCTCCGGAGGACTCTTCGTCGTCGTCGTTCGCTGCTGCCATCCGTCCTTCAGAACGAAGTCGAGAGCCGCCGCCGCCTGGCCGGAGCCGTGATCGCGTTGGCGCTGAGTGATAAAGCGCAAGTGATGAAGCTTCAGAAGTAAATTTGAAAAAATAGATTAAAAGTAGCTTTATAAACATTTCTTTTTAAACCCAAATGAGAATGATGTTTTAAGCACCAAGCAGAAAGATGCACGAAATTGTTGAGTTTATAATTTTTAAAAGACTATCAACAATTAGTATAAATTTTGCTAATTTAACAGAAAAATAGATATGAGTTACAAAACATAAACCATAAATATTTTACACAGCCGATCCAATAGGTGAAAAAGTATTTGAAATTTGTGATGAAATTTTACAGATGCACATTTATTAATGAACCAATCAGAACTAATAACAATAATAATTAAATTAGAAAAAATGTTGAAGATTCTTTGCAAATCAAAGACCAATAGTGCTTATAATGAAGCAAATAACAATTTTTAAAGAGTAAAAAAGTGACATAACAAATTTAGAAATATTACAATCAGATTTTATATTGCATATAAACTTCAAGAATTTGGTCTATTAGGCATTCATGAAGCAGATTCAACTTACTTAGAGTGAAACGTATAAATAATATATAGACAACAATTACAAAGTTGGAGTTGTCCTTCCCAACCGTTTGAGTACAATCTTAGATAAAGGGATTAATGGAGACATGTTAATAAAGCCTGGTCGATACATGCTGTGTTATGGTGATGACTTGTGGATCAATATGGAAAATGATTTCTCATAGACACATAAATTTCAATTTTTAGTTCTTTTATTGAAATGAATTATGTCTTAGACGTAACAATATATATGTACAAAAAATTACAAATCGTTTTGGCATTAAATTGGGTTGACTGAAAAATAGTCTGATCCCTTCTGGCACGACTGTTCACAAGTTGTTAGCATCACAAAAAAGCAAATACGCAAACATATGATACAGAGATTCATTTAGTTGCTCATCAAGATAAAAAATAATTCTCTCTTATTGAAATATTGGGAACATAATAAATAAATTTTATTATAAGTATTCTATAAAACTTGAGTAGGAATGTCTCCCAAAAATCTTTCATCTTTATCATTAGTATGTCTGTACAAATGCAGTAATTCCTCGTAACTCATATGTTCGACAACTAGGCGACAGGCAGTATAAGGTAGATTCAATTTACAGTAATCAGTCATGAAAAGATCAGCTGCAAATAGTTCTAACTGTAGCCTGACATAAATGGTTGCTATGTGCCTTTTTATAATGATGTTGATCCAAGTATGAGATAAATCATCCAATGGTGGGACACGCCAATTCTTAATATTTTTTAATATCTGGAAACTCTCATCAAAGTCTTTATCAATACAAAACTCATAGAGTGAGATGTCGTCGCTTAGCATAATATCTTTGAGTTTGTCAGCTTCGCTGTTCCAAACAAGATCGATATCTCTAGGAAGTATGTCGTGGATTCCATCGTTTATTCGTCGTATTATTTTCTTCACATGTTCTTTAAAGAAATCATCAACTTCTTGAAATTTCTCAAGTCTAAGCTCGATATAAATAAAATAGTTATACACAATTGGGTAGGAAGCAGTAAAATCTTCAGTAGGCCCTAAACATATTAACAAAAAGAAAGTAATCATCAGAGAATAAAAGTTATATTGTTTAGGTAAAATGAAGTTACTTACTAGTATATTCGGGCATCAAATGTTCAGTATCGTCACCTCGAACTGCTTCGAAACATTTAAGCATCTTGAATCTGGTGTGTAAGCTCATTCGATAATCAGCCGACTGCAACAATTGTACCATCTCGATGATGTTCAATGTTAGTGGATAGTTTTTTAATTCGATCGATGAGAACTCTGCGCCGAACATTTTATCCTCGTTCAAATTGTCAAGACTCGCGCCGTGTTTCAAAAGCGATTTGACAAGCTGCACATCGAAACGAGATACCGCCAAATCCAAAGGACTATCACCATGTCGATTGCGAGTTTCCATAATCGCCCCATGATCAACCAGCATTTGAACTATTTTGTCTACTGGTCGTCGATAATCGCAAAATCTGGAAGCGTTGGTGCACTGGCATAAACAGAGTCGAGCGAGTGCGTGAAGAGGTGTCGACTTCTCCACGTCCCGTTTGTTTGGATCGGCCCCGTGTTTCAATAAAATCTCTACTATTTTTTCGCGTCTGTACTGGACTGCAATATGCAACACTGAATACTTGTACGAGTCAAGATTGACATCCACACCTTGGCTCAAGAAAACATTCACTGCTGTCACGTTGCCCGACATGCAGGCCGCGTGGAAATATGTGTAACCATAATCGTCACTCAAGTTTTCCCGTGGATTCTTCAAAAAATATTCCATGACCTCCAGGACTTTTCCTCTTGGGTCAGAGGTTGAATTATTTATCCCGTATACTACCTCAGCCAAATAATGAAGAGAAGACATTCCATCTACGAATCTAACCTCGTTTATTTTAAGCTCGTTTGCCTCAATCAGTTTTATCATTTTCAAATCGCGTTGTTCCAAAGCAAATTTTAAAAAATGTTCTTTAACACTAGGAAATAAACTTGTACAGTTCATCAAATCCATCATAACTCTTGTCAATAATTCTCGCTTATCTTCTTTACATTTAGACCAAATTTCAAGTACTTCGCAAAACTCGTTGAGTCGCGCGTCACCTTTTACTTTTTCCAATTTTTCTTTTACGTCTTGAAAGTGATATAAGTATTCATCGTCATCATCAAATAATGACATTTTGAATGAACTGTTAATAATACTAACTACCCTGGAGAGAAATAACAAGTACCGCACGATACACAGAACAATTAATTCTAGCAACGAGCACGTGTGCAAAGACAGTACCGCACATAGAAGTCTTCTTTTTCCTGGTCTTGTGCTCACTGAAGAGTTTTCCGCACTGCTTTGATTGAACTTGGAGTCGAATATTTTAGATGCTCGAAGTTCGAACTGCTACAGTGCACGTTTTCCAAACTACCGCCACCACTTTACAGAGAGTACTGAGTCGGCTTCCACAATACAACACTGGGACTTGGTATGGGGTTGGGAGCAGCGATGCCAAAGGCAACAGCGAAACAAAATCTGACGGTCGCCGAACCACGAAATTTCAAGATACTTCAGATGTATTTTTTATGAGGGATCGGCATGTAACAGAAACATTTCAAGTGAGAATTTTATCAATGAATTTGATGAAGAATTTGAAGCTCTTTCAAATGGTTACAAAGATACACGCGTTAATATAAATAATAATGAATATGTCATTTGTCAGGTTATTCGCTATACATGTTGAAATATCAAAGCCAATTTCATTATTAGTGCTGAAATCTACAACAACTTGACAGAATTTAGACAACCTAATCAACTGAACAGTTGGAAGCTGAAAAGATAAATTTCACAACGGGAACAGATGATTTGTGTAAACTCTCCAAGGTCAAAAATTTCATTAATTATCAAGTGAACCTGATACTATTGCATGCAGTTGATAAAAAAATGTATGCAAATTACTTTGATCCTAATGCAATACTTTGTATCTAGGCTTTCTAGAAACATAAGTGGAAGGATGCATCTACTGGAATTAGACTTGGATTTTTGGCAAAGAAACCAATGGAGCCGGTGTGCTTGAAGTAAGTGTGCAATAGGCGTATTAGTTAAAATAAACAAACTTTAAGAAAATACATTTTACTATTTACTTATCATAAGAATAATACGTTTTACTGTTGAATTGTATATTTATTATCTAGAGAAAAATAGATCAAGCCTTATTATGTAGTTTAATCCATATTTAAGAGTAAAATTTTGTACCAAATTTATCAATGCCAAAATGCTGTAATTTGACGATTCATTTATAAATTCAAATAATATGTAACATTGTACTCATCAAGTTATTTGATTAGTTATATCGTTTTTATTAGAACGTTATGCTACTGTTGAAATCAATAATATGTTAGTGAAACATTATTAAAAACCAAATATCACAGTAAAATTTTATATCAAAAACTTTATTACAGGTCAAACCAATCTCTGTTGTTGTTGTTGCTGCTGCTGCTGTGGAGCTGCTAGACAGATAGCTTATTTCCTGTTGTATCATTCAGTTGTTGGTTCACTACTTGACTAAAACCAAACAATTGATCTGAGACTACGTGACATTCAATGAATGATAGATATTCTTAAATGAGTTGTTGTGTTACGGAACTGCAAGATCTTGCACTTCTCTCACTTATAAGTTATAAAAATAATATACTTTAAAACCTTAAATTACAATTTTTCTCATTATTTTCTTGATACTATATTATTATTATAAATTTTCAGATGTATTAAGAACTGCCAGATCTTAATCTTCCCAGATGCTGATGAGTGAGTATGCGAGTTGTATCTGGAGGTAATTATGGAATTTAAAAAATTTTGTTTTCTCTCTACCTGTGACTATCAAGGATAAAAAATATAACATTTTTCAGGTACATTTTTTTATCTATATATTTTTTAAAAGAATCGTGTTCTGTTTCATTTTTCCATTTAATTAATACAATACATTCTCTTTTAAAGGGATTGGAAATCAAAAGTCACGTTTTCACCAAAATTGATATCATGACCAAGAAATGGAAAGGAGAGTGCAGAATATTGAAACCATACCCAAATTATAAACTAGTTTGCTAATATATATAATTGGCATCTTTATATTTGTACATTTTCCGTTCGACACTTAGAGATAAATAAATGCATCAATGTGCATGTTTAATGTAATTATAAATGTGATTAATTATTTAGTACAGTCATACATTTTTTTTTAGTAAGTCAAATGAATTTTATGTAAATAAACATTTACAATTTACAAAATGTACATAAATATGTTAATATGTATATTTACATTTATGAATCCGTATACAGCAGGATTACAACATTAAATAATATAAATATTTATTAATATTTATTTTATAATACAATCTAGATTACATATGTAAGTAAAGCTTTATCTTTAAAAATTGTTACTTTCATTCACGAAAATAAGTTTGTTTTTTTACTTATGACAATGCTATAAAAAGTCATTTGAAGAAATATTAATTGTACTCAGAAAATTCAGCACAAACTTTCCTCAATTTTTTTTAGTACAGCTGCATTTACAATATGAACAATTAAAAAAAAAAAAAAAAACACGATGTTTTTTTTAAAATTTTGATTCGATCTACATTTTCGAATCAAAAGAGACCTAATCTGTGGGTCTATCACATATTTTTTGCGTCCATGGGGCATTGACATAAAAGTCCATTAGTTATAAATCGAAATTCAACATGATGCACAACAAAATGGCACCTCGTAAGAAAAACCATGCAAAAAACTTGGTGACTTTTTTTATATGCTAACCAAGCACCTACAAAAAAAACTTTTTCTGGTAAAATTTTTTGGTAAAATTTTTACCAGATTTTCTGGTAAAATTTTTGGATTTTTGATAATGGTCAGAAATCAAAAATACCAAAAATGATCCAAAAAAATCTTTAAAAATTCAGGGGTCTTTTTACGAGGTGCCATTTTGTTGGGCAACATGTTGAATTTCGATATTGTAACTATTGAACTTTAATGTCAATACCCCATGGACGCTAAAAATATGTGTTAGACCCACGGATCAAGTTTCTTTTGATTCTAAAATTTAGATCGAATCAAAATTTTTTTCAAAAAAATAGTTTTTTTTGTTGTTAATAAAATGTGGGAAATTTCGACACTATTTCCATTTTTTTTGTTTTCCGGACTTTGGAGGGGGATATATTATATGATCTGCTTCACCTTCGAGAGCGCTCAGTTCGGTTAATATCACTTCACCGGAAAGTCTTTTTTTTTCTTTTTTTTCTATTAGTTTTTTTACCAATGAAAGCTTAAACAAATAAATCACAATTAATGAATACGATTTTCACTCGATCAAAGTATATTTGATATATTTTGATGAAAAAATATTTATTTTACCACAAGTGGATGTTCTCTCTCTAGTGAGGGTGGAAATTGATTCATTTTTAATTCCTTTTTTACTTTTTCTGCCCTTTCTCCGGACATCAAATCTATCAGGACCACTCCGAGTGAGAAAACATCCACTTTGATATTGTATTTGCTCGTCGTCAATTCAGGTGCCTGGTACGGTGGTGTTCCGACGTCGGGTGTTCTCCTCCCATTTTTTACTACTTTCGTAGCTAACCCAAAATCAGCTAATTTTAGTATTCCACTATCTGCTACTAAAACGTTTGCAGGCTGAAATAAAAAAGTTTATTACTAGTGGCAACGTTCGTTGCTAAGGCTGAGCGAGGTTAGGCGAACGTAACAATAAATTTTAGTTACTAGTTATCGCTAAGCGCGCTTCGCGCGCATATTTAAGATTTTATGAAAAATCTGCAATTTTTGGGTATTTGTAGGGGTTAAAAGACACTTTAGTAAAGTTAAGCTTGAAATCGCGATTCTATTTTTTTATTTCGTTCATGATTATATTCTTAATTTGGCTGTAAATTTATTTCTGAGGCACCTTCAAAGCGTTAGGAGGCTCAAACAATAGGTCTTGAGATGCTTCTAATTATCAGTATTATTTGGAAAATGTTGCAGTATTTTGTGAATGTCCTCACAATAAAAAGCACGTGATCATTAGACGGATGAAAGCAAAAAAAAAATACGAAAAAATTAAATATTTCGAATGTCTCGATACAGAGCTAGGATGCAATATTCCAGTCAAAACCTACGTCATTTTTTAGCTTATTACACACAAAAAAATACCCCGGAGTTTAGGAAAAATTGGTATTTCTCCGAGTGAACCTTAGCTATTAGAAAACTAGAAAAATTGCGATTTTTTCCATTTCTTAGCAAAATTCAAATGGCTCTACAGCAGTTAATTTTGAAGCAATCATAACTTTGAAAAAAGCAAATTAAAGTTCTATTTAAGACTTTTAATTTGACGGGTTTGGATTTTGATTTGCTTGAAAATTGACGGCTACAGAGCCATTTGAATTGTAATGTCACCCTCATTTAGGCAACAAAATTTCAAAAACCTCAGATCCTCCAACAAGCCTCGAAGCGCTTACGATTAAGCAACACACTACGCTTAACCAACTGCCAACAACATACCACACGCGCAACCGAATCTTTGACCGCAATCGTGCTTTGCAAATCGCACCGAGTCACAGATCGGAATTTCGCACCTTCATACGACCGTTATCGAAAGTATCGACCCATATGGTTTTTTCCCAACAAACAAAGAATCTACCTAGCTGCTTCTCGAATATTCGGGAGAGCACCGAAATATTTATGAACATATTAACACAACAAAATAATCCCAGACGTAACAACAAATAAGCTTCGCGCGCAACCACGTTGAGCCGGAGGTGATTAAATAAGCTATCCCCTTTTGCTCCTGTCTTTTTCCAACTACCTTCTCCTATAAATTACCAAGTAATAAATAACATAAATGCAACAGCCAGTCAATGTGAGTGTGAAGCAGAGAGAGATATCTTGACAGTAACAAAGTTAGATAAAATATTTATCTCGTTAAAATCTAAGCTACCATAAATAATATTATCCAAATAAGTTATATTTTATGTAAAAGCCGAGTTCTGGAATATTCGAACATTGGCTCGGACGACCAGAGCAGAGGAAAAGAGAGATACAGCTATTGTTTCGCAGCTAATGAAATCAATAAACATCCTTCAAAAGCAATAAAAGGTGAAACCACCGAAAACGATATAAATATCGCGACATCGAGGCCTCGTCCGTCTACTTGTGTTCCAGCAGCCGGCTAGTGCTAGTGCTCTCTCTCTTCCTCTCTTCAAGCTGCCCTGGCCAAGGTTTTCACCCAGGCACGGTACAGGTTTATATCCAACAATGGAAGTAAACGGATTTGTCAATAATAAGACCCTCTTCGAGTATAAAACTGACCTTCTTTTTCTTCAAACCTACTGCTTCATTATGGTTGCAATATAAATATACATTTTCCTAATGACATCACTGCCGCCCTGGCGATGAACGAGAAATCGTTTCGCCGGGTCGAAAGTGACCCTCGTTCCTACACAACTTAACGATTCGTGAGTCGCCGGTCTCAGCCAACCACCCGGCCTTCGTCCTCTCAATGGACGGAGCTCGAGAGAAGCTCTAAATATCCAAGGCTACGTGAACATTTCGTTCATAAAAATCAAAGTCCCTTTTCGGGACTTTACAGAATATTGCTGTAAAGAAGCGAAAAAAATTAATTTAAATCGAATTTAAAAACCTTCAAGGGACTGGCGGCACGGGTTATCTCAATTTATATGAGCTAAAATTTTGCACAGACTATTTTTTTGGTACATAGATCACTTTTCCGTTTGGTCCGGGCAAAATAAAAAAAAATTTCTTTTTTGCTTCCAGTCTAAAGTATATGGCCGATTCTCTGTGAAATCGAATGGCCAAAAAATTTTTTTTTCTGCAAATATGAAAAACTTGCTGTTCCCGATGTCAGAAATGTCCCCAAATTTTATTAGAATTTTTGGGACCATCTATCACTCTTTTTCAGGGGCCCGAAGTTGGCCATTTTAGAGTTTTTTTGAAATTCATGAAAAATCACAAAT